GCTTCAACAGTAGTGAGTGTACTATATGCTCACTGAATACTCAGCCCGAGTGTCTGAGAGCTTCATTGGATGTCTTATAAGTTGCTTCGAACTCATACAACTATGTTATATGACCCCAATTGCCCACCCACTGCTGTTGAAGCAATTCAGCTACTGCCGTTTTTGGCATGCTTAGTCAGACTCGGTGATCTCGGGGAGACGATTTGTTCCAGCCATCCTATAGCGTTCTCCTCCTCTTGTTCGTTCTGTATCCGGTAATTCTCATATAATACATTTTCTTACATAATATTTCACTTCTGCCCTAGTAATTAGAGGAGCGCGAACGCTAAGGACGGGTGGTTTAGGAGCCTGTGCCCGTCCCCAGTAGGCGCTGCCCGTCCCCAGTAGGCGCTGCCCGTCCCCATTGGTAACGTTGTCACCCGGGTGCGCGCAGTCACCTGGAGGCTATCAGCCACAATTGAGTAGGGCTAATTTTACCTTAGCACGCCTCATGTGAATCTGATCATATAAAAGTTTACAGTCTTAATCGGATTACATAAGCAACTCCCGCCACCGCTGCAAGTCAAGCTCGGGAGGCGGGCAGATGCAGCCTCCTCGTGAGGGTACCGTAGGGTAGAAAATTCGGAATAAAATTTCTTTGCACTAGAGTACATGTGCAGCTACAGTGCAGTACAGCTAAGTAAGGAATAAAGACCAGGAGCAAGCAAGTAGGTCAGCTAAAGCTCGGGGCAAGCCACAGATCTGGGTGCCGAGTGGACTGTGATGCCGCAGTTGGGACTGTGAATTTCCCGACCCGAACCTAGCTGAGGAGGGGGTCGATTTTGGCGCGCATCCGCGCCAAATCGCGTCACGACGCAGGCTCCTAGAACCATCCGTCTCGCGTCCTCGATCCTCTCTGCTAGGGCATGTGTGAAGATGTTATCTAATATGGCTTATATAATGCAGTTTATTTATAGTTGTATTTCCTGATTAAGCCGAACGGTGAGGATGAGGACGCTATGAGACGGCTGGCCCAACTCGTCGTCCGAGGTTTTACCGGAATTATGTAAGGCGGCTAAGCGACTAACGACGCATCGGTTTATTGACGTTCGTCGACTGCCCGATTTGGATTTCGAGGTGGCTTTCTCGTCGCACCTCAGCCGCCCTTCGAGCATCTCCTCTGCTCGCCGCGCGTCAATGGCGGGGCATACAATCTAATCTTTAAATAGAAAGCACTGTTTTGATAGTAATGCATGAGTAGCTGTTGCTCTGTATTTTCGATGTATTTCGATGAATAGATTATTCTATATACATTGAAAAGTGCAAGTACCAGGCTCCTCGATGCAAAGTAACCCCAGACCTTTGAAGATTGTGTGTATAAATCTACTTTAATTTTGATAAAAATACAGAGACAGTAGCTGCCGCACTATTGTGGTAAATAACTGTTCACTGCTTTCTTTGTTGAAGTGGGAGGATTCCCGTACCTACTCATGCTCACCGGAAGTACATGCAGTCAACAATTCAGATATACAATATTCTGTTATTGACAGCTACAATGTCCATGTCCCCGTCGACGCGCGGTGAGCAGAGGAGATGCTCGAAGGGCGGCTGAGGTGCGACGAGAAAGCCACCTCGAAATCCAAATCGGGCAGTCGACGAACGTCAATAAACCGATGCGTCGTTAGTCGCTTAGCCGCCTTACATAATTCCGGTAAAACCTCGGACGACGAGTTGGGCCAGCCGTCTCATAGCGTCCTCATCCTCACCGTTCGGCTTAATCAGGAAATACAATTATACATAAACTGCATTATATAAGCCATATTAGATAACATCTTCACACACGCCCTAGCAGAGAGGATCGAGGACGCGAGACGGATGGTTCTAGGAGCCTGGTCACGACGCGATTTCCGCTGGCGAAATTCACAGTCCATAGCCTTGGCATTTACAGTCCCTCGGGTAGATATCTGGTTACCTCACCCGCGCGTTCGTAGAGTTCCCGAGCGCCTGATGTGCTTCTTTGACCCTCAAATATTACAAACAATAGGATAGATTATATTTGCAAGTATATACATTATTTGAAGCATGGGAGGCGTGTATCTGGCCCTCCAGCAGGCCGGGATGGACGGGGAATGGAGAGGCCGGGGTCCCAAATGGCGTGGGAACTGGGACTGTAATGGACTGTGGCTCCCCCGCCACAGGACCGTAGATCTCACGGAAGAAGTTGAGTGACATGCATTGGTGATCAGGTTATGGCAGCAAAACTTAAGCACTGCAGCTACACTGCCAGCTCCACTGGACGAACCTTCAAAAATGAGAGGACAAATCTGTTCCTACAATGATATGAAGTAGATGTACAACACCGTTTCCTTGCTATTCTATGTTAATGGAGTGCTCATCCGCCGAAACCATCGACCCGCTCAGAAGTTCTGGGACTTCCCGATGTTCGTCTTGAAAGGAATGGCCTCAGAAGCCGGCTTCACCTTCAACGGCTGCACCGTGGGCGCGCCGATCGCCTTCGCGATCCTGTCCGAGAGGTCCTGGTCGACAGCAGCAAACACGGACACTACAGAGCGCAGGTGGCGGTCAATTCCTGTATTCGTGTGCGTTATGTCAGGATACGTACATTGCCTGGCCTTGACTTCCGCGCTCTTGGCGTTGACGAGGTGGACGGCAACGTTGTGGACAAGATGGGCCTTGTGCGTGTCGTCCAAGACCTTCTGCCACAGCTCACGAGGCTGCTCGAAGTCCACTAGAGCCAAAAGCTCTTTAGTTACCAACCTACCAGGGAACAAGCTCGCGACTTACACTCCGTGATCTCGCTGAGGTGCGCGATGGAGTTGCCGATCCAGGTCTCGTGCTGGAGAGAGCTGTAGGGCTTGGCCTTGTACTTGAGCGGGCTGATCGAGCTCTGGTAGTTGGGCCGGGCACCCTGGTTGTTGAAGGCCATGAAACCGTCACGCTGGAAGTTCGCGATCGGGACGATCGGCGCGTTGACGGGCAACTGCGTGATTCGTGCGAGGTCAGTCAAATGTCCTCTGTCGACGAGACACGAAGCAGGCACGGACCTGTTGGTAGTTGACGCCGAGACGATGACGGTGGGTGTCGGGGTAGGAGAAGAAGCGCGATTGGAGGACGGGGTCGGCAGAGGGCTCGATACCGGGGACGATGTGCGACGGGGAGAAGGCAGCCTAAACGCGTATGATGAGTCAACGAACGTGAACACTCTCAGGCCACCACGCACCTGCTCGATCTCAGCGAAGTAGTTGGCGGGGTTCTCGTTCAGGACGAGCTTGCCGATAGGGCGGAGGGGGAACTGCGAGTGCGGCCAGATCTTGGTCAAGTCGAGGACGCTGTACCGGAAGGACTCGGCTTGCGCGGGGGTCATGGTTTGCTAACGGCCGCGTGCATCAATATCTACCGACACGCAGTCCGAGTATCCGGCACTTACGACGTAGACGGTCCAGGACGGGTACTGCTTGCTCTCGATAGCCTCGAACAAGCTCTGGATACCGTAGTCGGGGTTGTCGCCCGCCAACTTGCCGGCCTGCTCGTTGTCGAGAGTCTATGCAGATTCGAGAATCAGCAACAATCTACCTATGAACGCAGAGAAAGAGATGCGGACCTTGAAGCCCTTGTCTGCGATGAAGTGGATCTGAACGTAGTACCAGTCACCCTTGTCGTTCACGAACTTGAATGTGTGGCCGGAGTAGCCGTGCATCTGGTGGTACCCGTCGGGGGTTCCACGGTCGGAGAACAGGATCATGACTTGGTGGATGGATTCGGGGTTTTGCGAGAGGTAGTCCTATCGCACCACGGTTAGGTGACGCAACCTCAACCGTAGACGTTGACATACCCAGAACATGTCCGCATCCTTCAAGTGCGTCTGGGGATCGCGCTTCTGAGTGTGGATAAAGTGCGGGAACTTGGCGGGATCCCTGTTGACATAACCATAAGTGGCTCGCCTCAGGCTTGGCCGTGGAATCGCCTTACCTGATGAAGAAGACCGGAGTGTTGTTGAACACCCAGTCCAGGTTACCCTCCTCCGTTCTCAGCTTGATGGCGAACCCACGGGGGTCACGAGCAGTGTCGGCAGACCCGGACTCGCCACCAACAGTCGAGAAACGGACGGTCGCGCGGGCGCGGTTGCCGACCTTCTTGAACAGCGCCGCGCACGTCAAGTCGGTGATGTCGTGGGTGACCTCGAAGTAGCCGTGGGCACCGGCACCCTTGGCGTGGACCTGCAGAGAGCAGGGTTAGGGGCGTTAAGCCGACGGGTGCGACAATCGATAACGTACGACACGTTCGGGGATACGCTCGCGGTCAAAGTGGGCGAGCAAGTCAATATGGTGGAAGTCTACACGACGCAGGTGAGATCGACGGACGGAGGGGGGACGAGCGGGGCGCACGGCTGACCTTGGAGGAGCAGAGGACCATTGAACCCGACCCGCTCAGCTGCATACGGCTCCTTCACGGGGGCGCCGTTGGAGGTCGTGTAAACCGCCTCGTCTTTCGTCTCGAAAACCTGCTTGGACGGCATCCTGGCGATACTCTGATGGTGGAAGGAGAGAAGGGGGCGGGTCGAGGGAACGAGCGTTCGCCGCGCGCGCAGTCTTATCAGCAACGCACGCCCGGCCGAGGCGCTGGCGATGGTCATCTGTTCACAGGCAGATGTCCTCGCAGAACTGGGTTTAAGACATGACGAGACGAGAAAAGAAGGCGGCATGTGAAGATCGAGATCCTTCTCCGACAGAGGGCGTGCAATTCAATTGAGGCCATTGGCTGTTTCCCATGCGCCGACGGGGCCCTCCCACGTATCGCGACGCAGAGGTTCACCTGGACACCGGAACGCTAGCGGGATCCTGAACTTCGGGGCGAGCGGACGCCTGCGAGCACGTTCTGGCAAAATGTTTGTCGAGCACGCCTGCGCAGGAGAAACCGCGGAACAATGGGATGAGCCTCTATTCGAGCAATGTTTTGACACGGTGTCGACTTACCACCGATATGGAGACCAGCGTAGCGGTACAGCGGGCTCTGCGCGACGACAAACGCCATTGAGACAAACGTGTTGCCGTAATCGAATCCGCATATCTTTTCCTCATCACAAGGCCGAAAGGTGGACCATCGTCTCCGATGGTGATGGAGAAGTGTCTCTTTACTCATCCTGTGTTGCAGCCATCACATGACCCCCTCAGAATAACTCACCTGCCTTTGAGCTAAGCCCTAGCGCCGTCTCACGAATCAGCTGTTCCTCAGCTGAGGGTCACGGATCTCGAGGAAGAGCGAGTGGAGGGCCTCGGTCAACGTTCAGGGGTTCGAGATTTCGGAGTGGGACGGGTCCTTTTTGATTATGAGCCGGCACATGGGCTCATTGCGAGCAGGGACAACGATATTCGTCAGGATCGACGGAAGCCAGAATGAAGACTCGCCAAGAGGCCTTCGGGCGGGCGGCCGCGCATTCCATGCTCGTTCACCGGGGCATCGGAGCGCAGGGTGGTCGTTATCGCGAAGATCGGTGAAGAGCACGACAGCCGCAAGTTTTCGCAAGCTTAAGTTACCAACGCTGGAGACGCACCGGTTGCTGCACTGCCGGAACAGACCACGAAAACTGGGCGGGTCCGGGAGTGCAGAAGTCAGGCAGCGCAGCCAGAAGCTGTATTCATCCAGGATCGACAGAACTAGCGCTTTCTGCAAATCTGTCTACAAGTTCCGCAAGCTTCAGCCCTCCAGAACAGATATAGAACTCTGCAAAGCGTGAGATTGGCCAGGGCAGCATTCCAAAGCGTGCGACGCCGCGAGGGACTTGGAAGCTGGTGAACAGCAGACGCGAGGGTGGCGCAAGGCACGTGATGGCTTCAATCACGTGCAGCTGTACAGTACCTCTCGGTAACTCCCGGCGCCTGCAATCGAATCTGTCCTACGACACACGCCCGTGCAACATTCAAGACCGACACAAAAATGGCCTCCAAACGCGGTGAGTACGCCAGGCTGTAGGTCGCAGCGTGGCACAGAGGCTGACACTCCGTAAAATGCAGGTTAGTAGGCGTTCACAGCGTATCGCTCGTTTGCTCATGGCTACTGTCCAGGTTCCGGCGCAAGTGGTAACAAGTTCCGCATGACCCTCGGTCTGCCCACTGGTGCAGTCCTGAACTGCGCAGACAACTCCGGGGCCAAGTCCCTCTTTGTCATCGAGCCCTACGGCACGGGCTCCCACCTGAACCGGCTGCCAGATGCCGGTGTCGGTGACATGGTCGTCGCTTCCGTGAAGAAGGGTAAGCCTGAGCTGAGGAAGAAGAGTGCGTCCTGTTTGCTTGTGCCGTGGGCTCGCTCTGATGTCCGCTTGCAACTGTGAACTACAGCCATGCCTGCTGTTATTGTCCGCCAGCGGAAAGCATGGCGGAGAAAGGACGGTGTCTTCCTCTACTTTGAGGTGAGTTGTGATTTCGGGTGCGTTCGATTGAGGATCCTCATGCTTGAGTGCCAGGACAACGCTGGTGTCATCGTCAACCCCAAGGGTGAGATGAAGGGCTCTGCCATCACAGGGCCCGTTGCAAAAGAATGCGTGAGTAGCCTTGGACCGTGCAAACAGCTCTTTCCTGATTCATTTCTAGGCGGATCTGTGGCCACGTATTGCTTCCAACGCTGGTACGGTGGTATGAGGTGGTATGGACGAGGGGTTCTCCATGTACTATGTGTCATGTTTCGTATTGCTAGCATCCTCCATCATGACTTGCTATCCATAATATGCATACGATCCACCCGGACCCTGACAGTGTACGCCTGGTACGCCGGCCAGAAAACAAGGAATCAGAGTTCGGTGTATGCCGGCGTGACTGGTCTAATTTGCCACTTTGCGAAATGCGGGCATGCAAGCTCTGCGCTCTCTTCGACCGCTGCTGCGACGCCCTCCACAGCCATGGCATCGACAGGCAGCAGCGCTCGCTGCAAAACGCCCCGAGTTTCCGGAACAACTGGACTTGAATAATGCAAAGATCCTCCGGGTAGTCGAGAAGAAGGTGGCGGAAAGGGCCAACCTGCTCAAGTCGGTATGCAGCTTTCGCGTTCTGTTTTATGCAGCGCTCTCTTACCATGAATAGGTCAATGAATCGTCGGGCCATAATGACATTGCACGCTCGAAGCAACTGAAAGAGCTGGAACCACTCAAGGAAGCCTGGGACGACTGGTCGCAGACCCTCCAGGTAAGCACGCAGCGCGCCCTCGCCCACCCACCCACCAACCGCTGCAGCTCCTCAACGAAACCACCTCCCTCCTGCACGACGCCGACCCCTCCATGCGCGCCCTCGCCGCCGACGAGCACGCCGAGCTCACCACCAAGCTCCAAGCGTACCTCACGCACACCTTCCCCGCCCTCCTCCTCTCCTCCTCCTCGCCCACCGCGCACCTGCACGCGCTCCTCGAGCTCAAGGCCGGCGTCGGCGGCTCTGAGGCGGCGCTCTTCCTGGCCGAGCTGCTGCGCATGTACACGCGCTTCGCGGGCGCGCGCAGGTGGGCCGCGCATGTCGCGAGCGCGAACAAGACCGACGAGGGCGGCGTGAAGGACGCCGTGCTCGAGGTGCGCAGCGCGGGCGCGTATGAGTGGCTCAGGTGGGAGAGCGGCGTGCACCGCGTGCAGCGGGTGCCCGCGACGGAGGCCAGCGGGCGGGTGCATACGAGCACGGTTGCGGTTGTCGTGCGTATCTGGTTTGGAACGGCGCGGTGATTATTTGTGTGCTCATTTTCTTATTGTTAGGTGCTGCCATTGGTAGAGGAGGCAGAGCCCTCCCCCGCCGACGACCTCTTCAAAATGGAAGACGTGAAGATCGAGGTCATGCGCGCCCGCGGCGCAGGCGGCCAGGCAAGCCTTTCCCGCTCTCCATCCCACATCAAATCCCTACTCACAAACCCGTGCAGCACGTCAACAAAACCGAGTCCGCCGTCCGCCTCACGCACATCCCCACGGGCATCACCGTGTCTATGCAGGACGAGCGCAGCCAGCACCAGGTTCGCATTTCCTCTTCCTCGTTTACTACGCCGACTCTTAATGTATATCTTACCCATGCCCACGCTACCCCAGAACAAACGCCGCGCTTTCCAAATATTGCGCGCACGTCTGATGGACATCCGCTTGACGCAGGAGATGGCGCAGCGCCGCGACGCGCGGCGTAGCCTCGTGCGCACGGCCGACAGGAGCGAGAAGATCCGGACGTACAACTATGCGCAGGTGGGTGCTCTCACTTTACCTTCATCCCTTGTCCCTGTTATAAATTTAATATTGACATATGTTTGTGGTAAAGGACCGCGTGACGGACCACCGCCTCGGGCTGTCGCTCATGAACCTCGAGAGCGTGATGGAGGGGAACGGGCTGGAGACGTTCGTGGAGGCGATGAGGGAGCGGCATGCGGAGGAGACGCTGGAGATGATGCTGGAGGAGCCGTAGGCGTACGCTTGACCGGTATTGTTCGGCTTGTTTTTCTTAATATACTCTTCTTCTCCGTGCTAGAAGGAACAACATACAGTAATCATGCATCGACGCGATCCCGTCAGACAATGCCGTGCTCTCCATTCGTCTGGTACTGCGATATGTATCAGCATTCGACGTGGATCCGCAAGTCTGGGTTGGAGCTTGCGCGGCTGTCTCGTACCGTATCGCCGACGAAGCACCAAGGGAGGGGTACGACGGTTCATTTACCTACCCAGCGGATGAGCTAGGATCGGTAACTCAGCAACCGGGGATGTAAGCAGGCTCGAACGTATGAGCAGCAACTCGGAGACGGGGTTCGCTTGACGAAGGGACAAACGCGTGCATACCGATTGATAACGATAGTATATCCAACCCTACACACAAAAAGTATGATCTAATAATTCAGGGACGGCTTCGTTACCCCCGTGTTGCCCGATTTCTGAGCGGAAGAGGAAGAATGAGCGAGAAGGGGACTAGTACGGGCAGCGCGGGGCGGGACAGAGGGCAGGATGCCGCTGCGCAGGACGGATGAGAGCGTAGCGCCTTGGGTATTCGGATTTGAGGACGGACGGCGAGCTTGTGAGCGAGAATGGGCGCCGGGCTGGGATTGGGAGGCGAAGGCGGGGAGGGTCACTGCAGGGGAGGGTTTCGGCGGGAGCGAGCTGTGGGCGGACGAAGATGCGGCGGGAGACGTGGATAAAGGACTGCTCTCGAGCTGGCGGAGCTTGGCTTCTAGCTTCGCGATCTTGTCTTTCGTGCTACATCGCACGCACAATCGTGAGCACACCCTAGACAGAGAAAAGGCAACAGCGCTGCCACTCACTCATTCCGACTGCTCGCGACGACGCTCGTCTTGAGCAGGCTCAGCGTGGTGGGCCTGTTGGCCTCGAGCGCGCCCTTGCGGTACTTTGCGCTGCTGCTAGAGCCGGAGTGGGAGTAGGAGTCCGCGGGGGCTTGGGTGGCGTAGGTGACGACCAGCTTGCGCCCGCGGAGGACCTTGTCGTGCGCTGCTGCTATCGCTTTGGCTGCGTCCTAGGCGGATACGTAAAGAGTCAGTGTAAATGGAAATTCGCTTCTTTAGCCTTGGCCCCAGCCCTCCCCGGGTGCCTGTTGTCGGATCGCGGTGGTGGTGATGATGGTCGGGTGGGATACGGGAAGGAGCGTGCAAGAAACCCGGGGTGAGCTGGGCTTCTGCAGGCTAGGTAAAGAAACAAGACGTACCTCGGGGTTGGCATACTCGATGAAGACGTATCCGCGCGGCTTGCCCTTCAGCAGCCCGGTCTTGTGGAAGAGGTAGTCGAGCTTGGAGATCTTGCCGAACTTGGAGAAGAGCTTGATCAGGGTGTGTCTGCTCATGATTTGAGTGTGGATCACAACATGGCAGATGAAATGCAGACGTACTCGTCGACGGTGGGATGCAGGTTGCCGACGTAGAGCCTGTCTTTGAGGACCTGCCGGGGCTGGCGAGCAGCGGTGGGCGCGGGTGCGGACGAGCTCTGCGCGGGAAACGACAGCAGGGACTCTGTGTCGATGCGAGACGGCCCAGCGGTATTCGAGTCGGACGTGGACGACATGTTCGAGCAGGACGTGTGAGACAGCGGCGGCGATGGACGGTGTGGCGAGAACGAAGGTGAACGAAGCCACAACGCGTGTTACGTAAGACGGGCGTTAATCGTACTGCGTATGGCCTGTGGACTCTGGCTTGGACGTGATAGAGGTCAGTCCAGTGCGACAACATTGGCGGCGTATAGGCTGAATATTCAATTCCGTATAGGCTGAATATTCAATTCCGTATAGGCTGAATATTCAATTCCGTATAGACCTGCCAAATGGACTGGCCCGTGTCGACCTTCAACGGCACCTGGGACGAGCCTGCTGGCCCGCCACCGGGCTCCCCTCCGACTTGTACGATGCTATTCCTTTTGTCGCTTTGCTGCCTTATGACTTTGTTGTGAAGATAAATTCGAAGGACCCTGGTTCACCACCCAACTCATCCTTTCCGCCACCATCGGTCTCGTCTCGTTTCTGCTCTTCTCCTATTGCCGCACCCGATGGCCGCTGCTGTTCGCGCCCCGGACGAAGCTCAAAGGTGCGTCGATTGCTCGCTATGTCGGGTAATGCTAAAGAGGCGGGTAGGCTTCTCCCCACATGAGGCACATGCACACCAGGCGTTCTTTGGTTGGATACTGCCCACCATACGCACCTCCGAGTATACCATTCTGCAGATAGTGGGTCTAGATGCTGCAGTGGTACGTCCGTCTCTTCACGTCATCTAGGTTCATGACGGACAATACTCCCTGCAGCTTTTGAACTTCTTCAAGATGTCATTCTACCTCTTCTCCGTCTGCTCCGTATTTGCGACCTTTACCCTCATGCCTATCAACCTACGCGTACGTCTCCCTGTTCGCCGAAACGAATTGTCCTGGAATCGGCTGTTTCACGCCTATTCCGTGGTGACTGTAGACTGCAGAGCTCACGACGAATGCTCCGAGTATATCTCTATTATAAGCATAGCTGAGGATTCAGCTGGCAATGATCGCCGTATACTCTCAGCATTTGTTGGACACTGTGGAGCTCCCTGGTTTATGATCACAACGCAGTTGTCGTAAAACATCTGTTTTCGTGGACCCATACTCCTGGTGCTAATCTGCTCATGCACCCACAGAGTAATATCGGCATTGGCGACGAAGACGAAGACAGCGACTGGCCCTCCTGGGGAGACTCCTTCGCCAGCCCCAACACCACCAAACCAAAGACCCCCACCGACAAACCCACTGACTGGCTCGACCTCATCTCCGACGCCAACTCCTACCTGACCATCCACCTCCTCTTCACCTACCTCTTCACGCTCCTCTCCCTCTGGTTCATCTACCGCAACTACCGCCGCTTCATCCGCGCGCGCCAGCTCTTCTCGCTCGAGCTCGTGCACTCCATCCCCGCGCGCACCGCCATGCTCTCCGCGCTCCCGCCGCACCTGCAGTCCGAGCGCGCGCTTGCGGAGTACTTCGAGGGCATGAACCTCGCCGTCGAGAGCGTCACCATCTGCCGCGAGGTCGGCTCCCTCAAGCGCTTGCTCGACAAGCGCACCGACGCGCTCCTGCAGCTCGAGCAGGCGTGGACAAAGTACGTCGGCAACCCGAGCACGGTCGAGGCGTACGACCCGTCGAGCAGCGCGCCGGCGTACACGGACGGTGAGCCCGGCGCGGTCGAGGCGCAGCAGCCGCGCCTCGTCGTCCCGCACCGCAAGCGCCCGAGCATCCGCCCCGGGTGGTTCAAGCCGAAGGTGGACGCGCTCGAGTACCTCCAGGCGCGCTTCGCCGAGGCGGACGCGGCCGTGCAGGCGAAGCGGCGCTCGGGAAAGTTCAGGGCGACGCAGACGGCCTTTGTCACGTTCGAGAAGATGTCGAGCGCGGTGCGTGCTCCCGCTCCCCCTTTGCCTTAATGTGCTTACCTCCTGCGTCGCCAGCAAATTGCCGTGCAGACCGCACACGCCCCCGCCCCCGCGCAATGCCTCACGCACCAGGCCCCCGAGCCGCGCGACATCGTCTGGGCGAATATGTCGCACTCGCCGCGCGCGCTCGTCATCCGCGAGACGCTCGTGCTCGCCGCCATCTGCGTCCTCCTCCTCTTCTGGCTGCTGCCCATCACCTTCCTCGCCAGTTTGCTGAGTTACAAGGAGATCAAGAAGGCGTGGCCGTGGCTCGGGCGGTTGATCGATAGGAATGACAAGGTGCAGGCGATCGTGCAGAACTCGCTGCCGTCGGTCGCGATGATGAGTCTGAATGCGCTGTTGCCGTTTTTGCTGGAAGGTATGGGTTTTCCGTTGTAGTGCATGCGTCGACCGCTCAAGACGGTATTTGTGGATAGCCCTCACGTATCTCCAGGGCTACCGCGCCCGCAGCTGGATCGAGTACTCCCTGCTGAAAAAGTGCGTACTCTACCCGCCTGCCACAGGAAACGCTCACGTGTGTCGTAGGTACTTCCTCTTCCTACTGACCAACGTCGTCTTCATCTTCCTCCTCGCGAGTACGTACTGGCAGCTCGTGCGGGACCTCGCCAACTCGCCTGGCAAGATCCCTGAGAAGCTCGCGGAGGCACTGCAGAAGGGTAGAGCGAGGTACGTCCGATGTCCATCAGGTGATACGCTCAGTCTCACCTTGATGCAGGCATTTCTTCTTGTCATATGTCATCCTGCAAGGCGAGTCGCAGAGGCAGTCACAGAGGGATGACTGTACTGATGGACAGTCGTGCAGGGATCGGTATCATGCCCCTCCAGCTCCTCAACTTGGGCGTCATCATTCCGAAGATGTTATTCCGGGTATTCACCCGTACCCCTCGAGGTTTGTGTTCATCCGACGATGCTCCTCGCTCTCTGCCAACTTGAACTGAGAGCGGATCCTGAATCCTGCAGACTTTGCGGAGCTGAACGCGCCGCCGATGATCAACTACGGCGTCGTCTACCCACAGGCAATACTGATATTCACGATTACGATTCTCTATAGTATTGTCCAGCCGCTCATCGTCATATTCGGCGCGATATACTTTGGGGTGGCATACGTGGTGTACAAATATAAGCTTCTATTCGGTAGGTGCTTCTTCTCTCGCACTATGCGTCTTCCTAGATCGTACCCACTGAATCTACCCTTCTTCTCATTCGCTCCCTGCAGTCTTCTACAAACCCTATGAATCGCAGGGGCAGGCCTGGCCAATTACGTTCACGCGGCTCATCTGGGGCGTGGTCATCTTCCAGATCTTCATGATCGGCAACTTCATCCTGCGGCAGTCGTACGTGCTGTCCTTCCTCGTCGGGCCGCTGCTCGCGGGCACTCTGTTCTGGGCGTGGCAGACGGACAAGACGTTCCGTCCGCTCAGCAAGTATGTGAGTCTGAGCTCGGTGTACGAGGTCGAGCGCGGGGAGGAGACGGCGGATGTGGTAAGGTTGAGGGCGGGCCATCCGGTGACGTGGTCGCAAAGGTTGGTTTGGAGAACGATCGCGGTCTGCGATATCTGCTCATTCTTTTGTTAGCAATTTGAATAGGCGGCGATATGCGCAGAATGATGAGACGCTCTACGTCGCTCCGGAAGACGCGAGGACGGATTATGTATGTTTATCCATCCCTGCTTCTCTTCTTACTTCCTGACACTCGAGAACACCAGTCTCAACCACCAATGGCGAACTGGTATAGCGGCGTGCTAAAGTGAGCCAACAAGTTTCTCCCACGACTTAAACTGCACTGACACTCGGCTTGCACAGTACCGGAAAGCGACGGTACGGCCATCCCGCACTGACCGGTGTCCTCCCACAGCCATGGCTTCCTCTGAAGAAGGGCCAGGCACTGGTCAACAACGGGCGACCGTCACAGGGGAAGAAGGACGAAGCAGTCGTCCTGACCCTGCGAAAGCGGGTGAGTGTGTCCCGCCGCGCTTCCCGGCACCTGGGCAGCCGGGGCGCACCCACCGCTCCGCTGCCCGAAGAACAGGGCGAGACGCAAGCGCAAGCACCCCGCGACGTAGAGGATCCCTGGCGCGACGACGCGTCTGGCTCATCGAGAAGGCTGCAGCCACATCAGCAACACCTTGCGCACCGGCTCAGCTACGACCACGGTTCGGGTGTGATTATGCTGCCCGAGGACGGCGCGTGGCTGGACGAGGAGGAGTCGGATTCGGAGGACGACTTTGGGTCGCCGATCGCGCCTGGGAGTCCCGCGAATGGGAGCGAGGAGCCGGCCGGGGAGCAGACCGGGCAGCAGGGACAGGGGCAGGCTTCGACTATCTCGGAGGGGACGTCGCCTGCGAATTCGAAGCAGCGCTACGGGACGTATTATCACCACCCCGAGAGAAGGCGGCAGACGATCCCTGGGGCGTTCTCGCCGGGGCATAATGATGAGTGAGGGGATGATCTTAGGGAGGGAGGGAGGGAAGAAGCAAGGGATCTTTGGTAGTTTACAGTTACACATTACTATGCTGCAGGTATCGCACATGTCTTCGCTAATCCGTATACCCCAAGCAAACAGAACCCGACGTCCTTTTAGAGGTACATGCCCGAGTCTGGCGGGGGCTCGTCGCGTTTGAGGGTTAGCCATGGGGCGCGAGCTGAGATTCTACTGCTGTTTCTGTCCCACTTTGATGATGCCTGTTCGCCGAGGGCTTGCAGCAGCCACTCGTGGGCTGCGGCCATGGTAGCCGTAGGCCAATCGATCTCCCTGCTGAGGCCTAATGACGATAACTCTGATGCTGGGGGAAGCATCGAGTATGGAGAGGGCAGGAGGAGGAGGGTGGCGGCGCTGGAGCTCAACGCCGAGATGAGCATGAAGGCAGCGGAGGTGGCTTGCAGGACATTGGGAGGCGCGAATGGGGAGGCCCCGCGGCCCTGAGGATAAATGTCAGTCTCACTTATGTCTGGAGAACTGGGTCGCTCGAGCAACATACCACAGGTGACCAGGCGTCTGTGCTCAGATACCTGATCGGAGCATCTGCGGCTGAGATGGGGTGGGCGTCGATGTATTGCGGGGCTGAGTAGGTATCGAGGATTACGATGCTAAGGATAGGTGGTCAGGGCGACTAAACGGCTCGATTGACATGCAACACGTACCTAGTCGGCTTAAGTGCAGCGATCACGGCCTCGGCATACGCGTACATCGCCCACGTCGGTATGCGTATCGTAGCTTCAGACACCACAACAGTCGCTTTCGTCCACGACGGCGAGAAGGCAAAGCCAACCTAGAACTAATTCACTGAATTGTCAGGGGAGAGGTATCCAAAGAGCTTGCAGTACCTGTATCCCATTCAACACTATCGACGCCTTGACCTCTCCCAGTCCGACGCCCTTCGCCCACGTCTGCGCTGCCAGCCCAATGGCTAGAAGCATCGGTTTTTCGGTTGGGTAGTCGCCAGCGATTTTGACATCGACGACGCGGTTAGCCTGGGCGGCGGGGGGAAGCAGCGGGTTCTCTTCGTCCTCCTCGTCCGACTCGACCGCGTAGCGCGGCGGGATAACGTCGGCGAGAAAGTCTGTGTCCTGTGTAGCGCATCCGTGAGCGATGAAACACTCAAAGCTCCGGAACACGAACCATAGGTATGCGCTGACAAGGTACAAGTGCTGGTAGACGTTGTACGCAACCGCCCCTATTTGGTGTATGTCGCGGTTTCACGCGTTCTGAAACGGAGCGCGTCTGTCTGCTTGAACACTGCTACCATCCTTCTTGTCCCATCAATTCCTGCAACAGCTCCCTTTACGATGGTATGTACCACACATACAGTTTATTCGCTCTTCCTGACTGATACACTTCCAGAGTGACAACGCTGGTAATATCTCGCCAATTATATACTCGGACGAAAAACAGCTAACATGCTGCTTCTTCAGAGTACAAAGAGGCCTTCGCACTCTTCGACAAGAAGGGGACGGGTGCAGTACCCAGAGAGACCCTGGGCGACCTTTTACGTGCCCTTGGGCAAAACCCTACGCAAGCCGAGGTTGCTGAGATCGTAGCTAGCGCCCCTCGAGAAGGTATGTCTGACCGAGTCCCTCCTACTACTGACCATCGACTGATACTCGGGCAGTGGACTATAAGACATTTCTCACGATTTTGAACCGCCCAGACGGCTTCAAGCCCGCAGGTACACCAGGTACGCTCGCTTACTACCATCTCACTCGATCCTGCTAACCCGGGCTGTGATGACACAGAGGAGTTCATTCGCGGCTTCCAGGTGTTCGACAAGGAGGGCAACGGGTTCATCGGTGCGGGCGAGCTGCGGTACGTGCTCACACAGCTCGGGGAGAAGATGACGGACGAGGAGGTCGACGAGCTGCTCAAGGGGGTGCAGATCGGCGCGTACGTGCTCCCTACTCTCTGTGTTCGGAGGGGTCATGCTCACATCTGTGATTTACCAGCGATGGGAACGTGAACTACGAGTCCTTTGTGCGGACAATCCTGAGTCAGTAGGCGATGCGCCATAGACGGTAGCAGGAGCAGCTCGGTGTCAGGTTGCACAATTAATTACTAATGTATGTACGACGACGATGATACCCATTCTTATGACAACGACAGTCTCCAAGTCCACAGTGGGTACGAAAGACGCGTACATTACAAGTCAAACAGCTAGCATGACGGGTAGCACCTGCTACGCCTGCGGGGGATGGATGCATCGAGTCATGAGTATTGAGAGAACGCAATAAACACCTAAAGTCCCGTCTAGTAATTCTACTCCTCGTCGCTCTCCTCTGTATCATACCCGTCCTCCCCAGGACTGTCGTCCGCACACCTCTCCACGACGAGCTGTGCGCCGCCTTTGAGCCCCTCCACGTCGGCGATGCTCCTGTCGGGCAGCCACTCTATCTCGCGCCGGGGGTACGTGAGCGCAAGCTTGAACCCCCACCATTTGTCCGGATCCCCGCCGAGCAAATCGATCTGTTCGCGCACGTCTGTTTCCCCGAACGCATCCTCTCCCGAATACGAGCGCGCGTCCGTATCCACGCCGCCCATCAACACCTCCGCGTCGACGTATGCGTAGAGCACAGTGAGACTCGCGGCGGGGTCGAGGACGACCACCTTCCTCGCGCCGCTCGGGCTCCTCACCGCGACCCTCACGCCGTCCTTCACCGGATCCACCAATTTCCTCACCCACCTCCTCTGCCTCCTCCTTACCGCCTCCCGCTTCTCGCGCCTGAACGCCTCCGCCTCGCGCTCCTCCATGCGCCTTCTCTCCTCCTCCCTTTTCCTCCTTTCCTCCTCCATCCGCGCCTGCAGCCGCTCCGCGTCCCGTCGCGCGGCCTCCGCAAACGCGCGCTCCTGCTCCGCGCGCAGGGCGCGGTCACGGTCCTGGCGTGCGCGTGTCTGGCGCGTGCGCTCGAGGACGGGCGTGACGCGAGGGAGGAGCTGGGAGTCGAGGTGGCTGAGGAGCTTGGCGGGCGCGGTGGCGGCGTGGCCTTGGTGCCGCGAGAGCACGGTCAGGGAGAGGGCGGGGGAGGAAGCGGTGGTGGTGCTGGAGCCGGTTGTACGCCGTGGCTGGAGGGCGACGAAGGCGACGAAGGGGAAGGTGGTTGCTTGGAGTTTTTGCGAGGCTGTGGGAGAGATGAGATGGTGTATGCGCAGGAACGTGGGTGCGGTACATACCGCTCCAGGTGTCTGGGTCTCTGACGTCTCCGCCCCAGACGACGAAATTGTTCGAGTGCAGCAGGTGCACGAATTTCGGGTCCGTAAGTGTCGTTCTAGGGCAGTATTAGCAACCCGTGGAAACAAGCAGAAAGAGACAGCTGTTCACCTCTTGAACTCGGCTACATCATCATGCTCCTCGCTCACGAGCACCACACAGCCAATCCGCGCCTCGCGCTCGCACCTCCTGAGAGCCTCCTCATAGCTGCTTACCACAAAGTCCGGGAGCACCTTCTTCCCGTCCTGCGCGGCCGCCTCCAGGTCCTCCACCGCCGACCCGAGCAGCCCCGCGCGGCTGATGCACGTCGCGCCCGTCTCCTCCTCGAGCGCGCGCACCCATCTGTCTGCGGCGCTCTGCGGGTCGACGGACTTGGGCGAGGCCGCGGAGAACCCGCGGAGGAAGGTGAGGCTGGAGAAGCGCGTGGGCGCAAGCCCGAAGGGGAGCCGCAGGAGCATGTAGAGCGTGCGCAGGATGCCGGAGATGAGATTGAAGGGGAAAGCGAGGAGGGAGAAGAGCATGCTGGGCCGGGGAAGGTGCGAGACGGTCGAGTTGGACTGTATGCGGTGGGGGAAAGGAGTTCGTGAGCGCTGCGATTGTTCCGAACGGTCGGCAGCTTACCTGAGCGCCCCGCCTCCTACCTGAACCGGTCAAAGGCCGGCTCTCGTCCTCGTCCTCGTCGTCGTCGTCAACGACGTCAATCCGTGCACTCGCGTTGTCGTCGGCGGTAATGTTATTGCGTGCAAAGCTGGACGTCTCGTGGTCACCGAAGAGCACGTTTGCCGCTTTCTTGGAGACATCAGACATCCGCGTTCACTATGCGGTACCAACGCTCACCTCGATGTCCCAGTCGACGCTCTCGAGCACGGATATTGTTGTGTCTGCATCGCAGCTGCCGTCGGTCAAAGTCTGCAATTGCTCGACGGCCGACCGCTGGGTCGGGTTCAAGTTGTTCATTGCGAGGAGAAGCGACGAGCTGTCCTCCCGGTGCAGTGAGGTCAACGGACGCTAAATATTAGACTCTGTCCCAGCGTATCCAAATATGGAGCTTAGCTCTCACAGTCCCTATTTGATAAGCCAATCACGAATATTTCTACCTCCAAGTTGTGCTATTTTTGGAGTGTCATCACTTACTTTTGCCACCACCCTCCAGAGTCCAGTCGAAGAAATGGACCTTTTCTCGTTTCTGGACGATACCCGCGATGGCCATAGCGCCGTGTCTGACGGCGAGGAAGCTCCCATGGAGGTTACGGAGGCCGCAAAGGACGTTCCAAAGAAACGCAAAGCCAGTCCGGATGAGAAACCTCCGTCAAGAAACGAGGACATGGAGGTGAACGGGAATGCAAGCAAAAAGCCGCGTATAGCGTCCCCCAGGCCAGAGGTTGTCGATGAAGTTGAGATTGAGGCGAAGCGGGAGGTCGCTGCGAGCGCTGGTCTGACCGGCGCTGCAGTCGAGAGCGGGACGCGGCTCGAACTTCGACACCAAGTGCGTTTCCTCCACTGTGGGCAAAGACTGACGTCCCGCTAGCGGACTTACTAAGAGCTCCTCCCGGCTGGGAGAACACTCTCCTGGAATGGGCCTTGCTTGACCTTGACTCGGACATGAAGAGTCACCTGGGAACGAGCAATGGAATGTCTGGGATATTTACCGTTATCTTGGAGATTGCGGGACATTCTTGAGACATCTTCATTTCGTTCTTCATGTCTGCCTTATGGTCCGTCAAGGAGTATCCAAGGAGAGTGTTCTGCCACCCGTCGCGAGAAACACAGGTGTCCGGTAGCGGGATGCCGGTCCTTGCCACCAGTGCTAATTCTTTCCTCCTTTGACCTTAGTTGCATGCATAGGTCCGCCACCAAGTCGCGGTTCCACCGGGCTACAATTATATCCCTATTGCAAATCACGTTCCCCCAGCCAAGCCTGCTCGGGAGTACAAGTTCACCCTCGATCCCTTCCAGCAAGTATCGGTTCATGCAATACAGAGAAATGAGAGTGTGCTCGTCTCTGCGCATACCAGTGCCGGTAAGACCGTTGTCGCGGAATATGCCATCGCCCAATGTCTGCAGAACAAGCAGCGTGTTATCTACACAAGTCCGATCAAGGTAACAGATAGCGAATTGCATTGTTTTGCACCTTTGCTCAGGTTATGCTAGGCTCTAAGTAACCAGAAGTACCGCGAAATGCTTGCTGAGTTTGGGGATGTGGGCCTCATGACCGGAGACGTTACCATAAATCCGTCTGCAACATGTCTAGTCATGACTACCGAGGTAGGTAGAATGTGTGCAGAAACTACGCATGCCCTAATCGTTACTCTGACCTGCCCAGATTCTACGGTCCATGCTGTACCGCGGCTCCGAAATCATGCGCGAAGTCGCCTGGGTCATTTTCGACGAGATCCACTACATGCGCGACAAGGAGCGCGGCGTCGTGTGGGAGGAGACGATCATCCTCCTCCCGCACAGCGTGCGCTACGTATTCCTGTCCGCAACGATCCCCAACGCGATGCAGTTCGCCGAGTGGATATGCAAGTCGCACGAGCAGCCGTGCCACGTCGTGTACACCGATTTCCGCCCGACACCGTTGCAGCACTACCTCTTCCCGGCGGGCGGCGAGGGGATCTACCTGGTGCTGAACGAGAAGGGTGAGTTTAGGGAGGATAATTTCACCAAGGCGATGGGGATGCTGCAGGAGAAGCAGGGTGAGGACCCTGCCGACCCCAAGAGCGGGCGCGGGCGGAAGGGGAAGACAAAGAAGGGCGGAGACAAGAAAGGTACGTCGATTATAGTGACTACTCAGCACGCCTGACTGTCCCCTCCCCAGGGCCGTCGGATATCCAAAAAATCGTCAAGATGATCATGCAGAAAAATTACAACCCGGTCATCATCTTCGCCTTCAGCAAGCGTGAGTGCGAGGCGCTCGCACTGAATATGTCCAAGTTCGAGTTCAACTCGGCCGATGAGCAGGACCTGGTGTCCAGCATCTTCGACAGCGCGATCCAGAACCTGTCTGCGGAGGACCGCCAGCTGCCGCAGATTGCGAACTTGCTCCCCCTGCTCAAGCGCGGCATCGGGATCCACCACGGCGGGCTGCTCCCGATCCTGAAAGAGGTCATCGAGATTCTCTTCCAGGAGGGCCTGATTAAGGCGCTCTTTGCGACGGAGACGTTCTCTATCGGTCTGAACATGCCCGCAAAGACCGTCGTGTTCACTGCGACGCGCAAGTTCGACGGGCGTGAGTTCCGTAATCTGTCATCGGGAGAGTATATCCAGATGTCGGGGCGTGCGGGACGACGTGGGCTAGACGACCGCGGAGTGGTGATTATGATGTGCGACGAGAAGCTCGAACCGAGCGCGGCAATGCAGATGATCAAAGGCGAGGCGGACCGCCTGGACTCTGCGTTCCACCTCGGCTACAACATGGTGTTAAACTTGATGAAGGTGGAGGGGATCAGTCCAGAGTACATGCTCGAGCGCTGTTTCTTCCAGTTCCAGAACAGCGCCGGCGTACCCCTGTTAGAAGATGGTATGACTGCTGCGCCCTTCACTCTCGCTGGTGGCACTACTGACATGCATCTACAGAGCTTTCGCGGGAAGAACAGGCCATGAAGTCCATAACCATCTCGGACGAGTCGCTCGTCGCGGATTACCATTCGTACCGGCAACAGCTCGACCAGATGGCGGCCGACTTCCGCGATGTCATCACCCACCCGAACTATAGCTTACCGTTCCTTCAACCCGGCCGACTGGTCAAGGTTAAATACCAGAAGCTAGATTTCGGCTGGGGCGTCGTAATAAACTATCACAAGCGGCTGCCGCCAAAGGTATATAAGAGTGACACCGCCAATAATGCGTGACGGGCACTGACCGTGTGCTTATAGAACAGGCCGATGCCAGTGGCTGAGGAGATCCCTCCGCATGAGCAATACATCGTGGACGTACTGCTAAACTGCGCGACGGGTTCCTCGGTTCCCAAGGATCGCAACGCGTTGAATCTCCCGCCCACACCCGGGGGTGTGCAACCGTGCCAGCCGGGGCAGACGGGCGAGCCGCTCGTCATCCCCATCCTCCTATCCGCGCTGGATGCGATCAGCTATCTGCGGATATTCTTGCCCAAGGATATACGCTCGCATCAGGCGCGGGAGACGGTGTGGAAGAGCGTCGTGGAGGTGCAGAAACGATTTCCCGATGGGATACCGCTGTTGGACCCTATACAGAATATGGAGATCAAGGATGACAAGTTCAAACAGCTGGTGGAGGTAAGCAAATTCGTTGCCGCTCCATAATTCGGATATAGGTTAACAACCAGGGTGCCGCAGAAAATTGAGGTAATGGAGTCGAAGCTCATGTCGAGCCCGCTACACAAGGATCCACGGTTACCGGAGCTCTACTCTCTCTATTCGAAGAAACAGGAACACCAGCAACGGATACGTTCCCTGAAGAAGCGCATACAGGCTACGAACGACGTCCTTCAAATGGAAGAGCTCAAATGCCGGAAACGTGTCCTCCGGCGGCTCGGGTTTACTACGGCGGATGACATCGTGGACGTGAAGGGCCGAGTCGCCTGCGAGATTAGTACGGGCGACGAGCTGCTCTTGACAGAATTGATCTTCAATGGCGTGTTCAACCCACTATCGCCCGAGCAGTGCGCAGGTCTTCTGAGTTGCTTCGTCTTCACAGAGAAGGTGCGTGTAGCTCCTCCGACATGTCTCAGATTTATTGAAATATGTACAGAGCGAGCAAGTCACAAAGTTGAAAGAAGAACTCGCTGCGCCACTCCGTGTGATGCAAGAGATCGCGAGGCGGATAGCGAAGGTGTCGAAAGAGTCGAAGTTGCCGGTCGTGGAGGACGAATACGTGCAGTCGTTCAAGGTCGAGCTTATGGACGCCGTCGTCCAATGGTGTCGCGGCGCTTCTTTCTCAGACATCTGCAAGGTTAGGTCTTTTTCCCTCCTCCGCAGCGACCGTACTCATTTATGGCGTCATTGTCTCAAATAGCTCACGGACCAATTTGAAGGGAGCGTTATCCGTGTGTTCCGTAGATTGCAAGAGCTCATCCGGCAGATGTGCCAGGCAGCGAAGGTCATTGGGAACGCCGAGTTGGAAGCTAAATTTGAGAAGGCGTCAGAGATGCTCGAGCGACCGAATTCAGTCATATTCTGCTCGTCTTTGTATCTATAGACTTTCTCTCTTGTCGTCTGTATGGCAGGTTCTGTGTCATTTGGCTGATCCTTCCAATCCGGATCTCGCGGCGGGCTGAATGCACTGCACGCGCTCTTTGTGGCAACGCATGGTACTTGACGCGCAGGAGCTTGGTAGGCCTTGCTCGTCGCTACCGGAGCAGGTCGTCTGACAGTGTGCTCAGGCCGGGAGCATTAGGAAGGCTGCCGGCAGTATTCGGCTACTGCGGTCTGAAGTTCAGTCGTAGCTTCGTCTCTCTATGTGCTATCGCGAGGTGTGTCCCGCCGAGATTATGCCCTTGTTACCCCAGTGCCAGGGGAAAGCTACTTGAAATGTGCTGCTCGGCCGACGTGCGCATACGAAGCGTCGTGGTCCCAAAGCACGCGACAGCTGGGATGCTGTCTCTTGATTTGGATCATTTCACGTTCGTAGCCGCAGACCGTCCATGGCGCCAGCATGTCTTTCGCGGCCGTATTCGAGGCTCTGGAGGTGTCTACTCGTTGACCCGAGGGACGTGTCGGACGCCGTCTCATCATCCAGCGCCCCTTATCATGGACCATGCGATAACTACCATCACACGGTGATATGCATCGCTGAAGCGTCGAAGCATCATATGTACAGAAATTGTTGCTGCCGCATGGTCCTGCCTTAATCCGTTCTACGCTATTTCGATCCCGTCCCGAAGATATTTCCCCGCAAGGCTTTCTCTAGTTCCTATCCGCGGCTGAGACTTATCTGTCTCTGTAGCGACTTACCGCACATGTGTCTTGCGAGAGTCGAGCTGCGTCTCCGGGTCCGCGACGATCAGGGCTTCGCTTGGCTGGAAGCTCGCAGGTGCTCCCGGAGACCAACTTCTTCGGAGGAGGAGGAGGAGGAAGACAACCTCCTCATACTACTGATTTGCTGGCGGGAATCTAGTGAACAAAGCTTATGACCGCATGGTTCTTCCACTTTCCCAAGACTCACAAGGAATCAAGTGATGACCCGTACGATCTCAACCCGAGCCGTATCCGAATCCTCGAGCACTTCTGCTCGGAAGACCATGCTGTTGCCAGGAACCCCCTCATGCAGTGTATTTCGAGCGCCAGCTTTCGCGGTCGTCCGATGCATGGTCGCCGAGTACCTTCTGCTAATAAAAGGGCGACGTTCCCCTCTTCCGTTCCGTAGGATCTCTGCCCTCTCCTCCCCTCCGCGGTCGCGCTAGACGGTGTACCCTATGCCTGTCGCGATGGCTTCATTCCGGTACCTCCTTTTCCTCCTGTCTGCCCTTGCCCTTATGGCAAGCGCGACGCAAGTCATGCAGCGCCCCGCGGACTACAAGGACCCCCCGAACAAGGTTCAGACAAACCCTGACCCTCAGGTGCAGCAGATCCACAAGAGGGCAAGCGGCAAGGTGCAGGCAGCTTATTTCACGAACTGGTAGGATCTTCCACAGCTGCCATGTGAGGACGTGATCCTCATCTTCTGGTCTTCGTTAGGGGTATCTACGGCGCCAACTTCCGTAAGTAGTTTCATTGAAAGTCAATCCCAGGATCTGGCTTACTGGTGTGCAGAGCCGACGAATATCACTCCCAGCGATCTCACCCATATCTTATACGCCTTTGCCGATGTTTCGCCGGATACTGGCAACATTTCTCTTACGGACACTTACGCCGATGAGCAGGTTTGTCTCTTCCAATAGCCAGTGGAGGACGGAAATATTTTGATGTCGCGTTATCTCAGAAACACTTCCCAGGTGACTCTTGGGACGAGACTGGAAATAACCTGTACGGCTGCTTGAAGCAGGTAAGCACGCGTGCGCATATGTTTGCCTGCGGCAGCACTGAACATATCGCTATCATGACAGATGTATCTGCTGAAGCTCGCGAACCGGAACTTGAAGGTTCTCATGTCCATCGGAGGCTGGACGTACTCCCAGGACGGACACTTCTCATTTGTGACAGACGCGACGAAGCGGGCGACCTTCGTCAGCGCTGCGGTCTCGCTGATTGAAAACTTTGGCTTGGATGGCATGTGAGTGCAATGTTCTCCCCTTTCCGAGCCCTCCATGTACTGATCTACCATTCAGTGATATCGACTTTGAGTACCCTTCTTCTACCGCACAAGGTCAAGGCTTCGGTGCTCTCTACACCGAACTCCGGACGGCCTTCGACAACCTAGCAGCTAAGAAAGGCGACACCGTGCCCTATCAACTAACCGTAAGCCCTAGTGTTCTATCCCTTCCACACCAAAGTAACAGTGCATGGCTAGGCTGCCGTGTCCGCCGGACCTGCTAACTATGCCTACCTTGATGTGCCCACCATGGATGCCGCGCTCACCTACTGGAACTTGATGGCCTACGACTATGCGGGCTCGTGGCTGAACTTCACCGACAACCAAGCCAACCTGTACGGTGGCGCACGCACGAACGTGAGCACGGATGCCGCGATCAAGTGGTACGAGGCGAACGGCGCCACGCCCAGCAAGATCAACGTCGGCATCCCTCTGTACGGCCGCGCTTTCGAGGACACCAACGGCCTCGGGGACTCTTACAACGGTATCGGCCCCGGCACGATCCAGGCTGGCATCTACTCTTACAACGTCCTGCCACTTGCGGGCGCGACGGTCTACGAGAACTTGACGGATGTCACGAGCTACTCATACGACGCCACGAAGAAGGAGCTCGTTTCGTACGACGACCCGCACATCGTGCAGCTCAAGGCGCAGTATGTCCAGACCAAGGGTCTTGCTGGCACCATGTTCTGGGACCTCTCGACCGACAAGACCGGGAGCGACAGCCTTGTCCAGACGGCGGCGAACGTCTATGGGGGCTTAGACACGACTCCGGTAAGCGCCCAGGGAGTGTCGATTACAATGTCACTTGGTTATAACGCATTGCAAAGAACCACATCAACTATCCCGACAGCGAGTGGGACAACATTCGCAACAACATGGGCTCCTCGACCGGAAGCTCGACGAGCTCCGTGCCGTCCTCCACGAGTACCCAGCCTACGACCACTTCTAGCCCTACGTCGACTTCGAGTACCACTACTTCGGCCCCTACGACTACCACCTCGCCCTCTGGATCCTGTGCTGGTGTCTCCGCCTGGAGCTCTTCCGTGAGCGCGGTCGTCGATGGCGATTGTTTTACATACTAATTTCCTCGCCTATTTCTGCAGATTGCATACACGGGAGGCGCCCAGGTCACATACAGTGAGTAGCATGGTGTTGTGACCTGCAAAGAATTCAGCTGACTTCTATCCTCTAGATGGTCACCTCTGGACCGCGAAATGGTGGACGCAGAATGACACCCCCGGAGGTGCCGCAGGAGTCTGGACCGACAATGGGGCTTGCTAGATACCAGCGCCGATTATATCCATTGGGCTTGCGAGAGAAGAAACGCACATTTGTAGTATTTATTAGCAATAGTATTCGCGTCTTAGAGCACATACGTCCCGATGGTCATCTCCAGCTGAGAATAAACTCAAGTCACCGCACATCGTGAGGCCACCCTTCGGAGATCGTAGAATTGCATTAAGCATCAGTGTGGTAAGTCTATGCTGGCAAACATGTTGATAAGTCCCGGACAAACGTTACGGAGACGGTCGAACAGCAAAGTCAATAAAGGTGAGTATAGGCAGCTGGGGAACTGGTCAAGCAAACCATAGTCAATATTGCCTTTACAATGACAGCTAGCAAGATGTCTCTAACCTTGGCCATCCTGGTTAATCATCGCTTCATCCTCGTCATCTTCTAATCCAAACTCTTCCTCCTCAATTTGCGGAGCATCAGCCTGCGCGGCTTCCCCCGTTCCGTCTGTGTAGTCCTCTGCTAAAGCGATGGTCACGGGCCGAGGTATCTGCGATTCCTCCCATATGAAATATAACCCGGTGTCAGTCATTTGCAGGCAGTCGATCTGGCTCAGGAGCCGTATATCCTCGAACCCTAAGGCGCAACAGATATACAGATTCGGGAACGCGAATCCGCATTCGGGTGGGTCTTCCGCTCCACCGTAATCCTCGTTAGACTCTGGCAAAGGCATCGGAGGACCAACACCGTGATAGGTAGAGTCGAGCGTTACAACGTAGATTCCAGTGCACTACGTATTCCGTCAGGCCCTGTAAACAGTAAGCAGATAGCGGGAAAAACGTACCATGACCAAGCCAATTTTCCCATTCTCAAAGGCATGGTACAAGGAATCCCCGTGGTCAGTGAAATCGATTCTGGCGGAGCTCAGAGCCAGAGGCACTTCTTTCCGTGCGATACGCGTGAAATCTGGAATTAACAGCAATGTCTCTGGATTTCCGAGGACCGCGAGGGTGCGTCCATCTGCAGAGACATGGACTTGGGAGGGATGTCAGAAAACAGGGTGAATCCCTACCAGGAATACGGACCTGCAACAAACTCCTCTATCAAGCTGCACCCTGCCCCTGGACCATAATATCGAGAAACAGCTTCCAGAGGAGCGATTGCAGCATTCGGGACCCCCGGACTTGTAGGGAACTGATGTGTATCGACTGTCAGCAACATACCAATATCCTGTGCGTCTCTTATCGGTATGTTCAGCACGAGTGACCCGTCGCGCCTCGAAAAGATGTTTATCGCAAATTTCCAGCAGATGAAGACGTGCTCCGCGCTCAGTTCGACATAGCTCAGCTCCCGGAGGCCATGCGGGCTCGGCGCAGAGATGTCGATCGTCTGCACAAGCGTCCCGGTGGGTATGTCGAATAGGTACGCTTCGTTCTGGCTCGCCACCAGGAGGGTTGGGTACACGAAGCGGAAGGCGTGGGTGATTGTGGGCATGTGCAGTAGCGCCCATGGTCTGAAACGACCGCGGTCGCTGTCGTTTGGGTGGAAATAGCTGGCACGCAGCGCTGCCAGGTGCTGTCTGTCATCAGGGGGCGATCTCTCGGGGTACGTGTCGGGAGGCTGTCTGGACTCGAGGCACCAGACTTCCTTGAATCCGCCGAGTTGGTCGAAGACGAGGAATCCGTTGGAATACTCGCAATGGGCGTAGGGGCGGACGTAGTTCTGTATGCAGTCACAATCGAGAACTGAACCAGCTGCAAGTCTTCGACAGCCTTACCTGCTCCAGTGACCAGAGGACGCCGCCTCCCTCGCGAAGGTCAGTTACCGCTAGCCCTCCGACGGCGTATGTGGTGATGGCAAAGCCCTCGTTCTCATCGATTTTAATACGATGGACCCACGAACCTGCGGCAGCGACAGTCCGGATAGTCGACGGACCCCTGCCTAACCAGTTATTCTCCAGCTGGAACCTGTCTCCGCCTTATATTCCAATCAGCTTGGCCACAGCACTGCGCATTCTTCACAACTTACAAAATGCCTTCCAATCCGCGGCCCCTTCCACATACTTTCGTGCAAACGCCGCTTTGGCTTTAGGGAGATCCGCCTCGAACGAGTCCACAAAGCGGTGGACCAGAGCGGCTTTGTGGTAGATCAGGGACTCGTTCGCACGAATGAAACTATACCAGGCGGCGCAGGTGAGCTGCAGCGAACGCAGAGACTGGGCCGGTAGGTACGAGAGCGTCTCGAGGACGAGCTCGGGAGGGAGTCTCGCGAGCATCGCGGTGGAGGCACGAAGGCAAGCCGCGAGAACGCTTAGGCAGGCATTGCGATGCAATGAGGGCTAAGTATATCGAGATGCATGCATCAATATGCATAGGGAGCAACAGGCATAACTAACTGGTACAGTACCAGCGCTGGCAGTCCGACCAGCACCGAATAAATACTAGTGTAGTGGGGGATCTAATGTTGGGAATCGGGCGTGCGCTGGGATCGGGGGGAGGGTTATAAGTGAAGCTTCAGTAATGCAGGCGAGCAGCGACGAGCGAGAGCGAACAAATAATATGCAGCAAAACGACTAAGACAACAATAACACACAGACGAAGGGGAAGGGTGAACGGAGGGCAGGAAGGGGAACGATAGATAGACGAAGTCCATATACAAGCCAAGAAGGCGGGCGGGCAGAGTCCACAGAACCGGATAATATGATACGAGCAGCAATAGGTAGTCCGGAAGGGAAAAGACGTAGTGGAACGACTTCCAGGAGATCTAATAGCTGTTGTTTGCTTGGCACTCACATGTGCTACTTGTATCGAGGACCGCTGGCCGAGTACAGTGATACAACGACACGCTTCTATAGCGCATCATTCCCACAGGCACGCACGGTCTACAACAGATACACGTTAAACATACCGTGAGCGCCAATGATCAGCCACAAATTGCGCTACTCACCCTTCTCCCCGCTTCCCTCCACCCGCCATATCCTTCCTTCCTGTCCTTATGTATGAATAGCCCGGGTATCATTCCACTCCGCCTCCCTCTACAGATGGCCCTGGCGGCTCATACATCATGGTAAATTAGCAGGGGTTCGCCGACGCCCTCGATTTCCGGTATGACACACTTCAGGTCGAACGCCTTTGCAAGCACGATCTTGAAGATCTTCTGCACGTTTATCGACGCTGATGTCGAACAGAATATTAACGACGCGTGCATTGCCTTTGCAAACCGCTTCGCCTGCGGTGAATGCCAGGCTCAGATAACCTTTACGAGGGGCACCTGAAATTCACGACGCACCTGCTTCGTGATCTCCTCTTGCTCATCCCTGGGAAATGTTGCAAAGGTGTCAAACTTCGTCCCTATTAAGAACGGTATTGCCGTCTGCAGAAAATCAATTAGCATGATCGGTGCAGTGCAGCCACGGTTCACAGCTGACATCTCGAAGAGACCCATCGAGCGAGCGGACGGACGTACCTTGTTGAACCCTCGCGCTTGTCGATACCACTCCTTCACCGAATTCAGCGTGGACTTGCGGGACAGGTCGAACATGAAGAGGATCGCGACGGCGTCGTTGCACACCAGCGGGAGCATGTTGACGAACTCCCGCTGGCCGCCCAAGTCCCATATCGAGAAGGTTATAGTCGTTCGCCGGACGGTGATGGTCTTCTCCATGAAATTAACGCCTGCGCGAGCGGGATTGGCGGGTATGGTCAACAGGCGAGATGGGGAGACTTACCCAGCGTCTGAATATAGTCCTCATCGAAGCTGCCCTCTACGTACTTTACCATGAGACTTGTCTTGCCAATCTGTGAGTCTCCCACCATCCCGACCTTGATCACCACGCTGGTAACGCACGCCTTAGATACGCCTCAGAGACAATTCTGCCGGGCGCTGACCTGTTTTTCTCCTCATTGTGCTCCAGGAGGTGGTGGGACTTGGCTCCCGCACCGACATTGGCAGATGTTGACGGCTGGGAGGTCGAAGCTGATGCAGACATGGCTTGTTATCCCAGTCTTTTAGAGTATGCACAACTCAGGGAAACTGTCGTCGGCCAGATTAGAGGCGCAGGGGTGCAGCAGCCCGGCGTATGTAAGGATGTATGTCGAGGAAAGGAGGAAAGGAAAAGTAAACGAGAATTAAGAAAGGAGGAAATGAGAGACGCGTCCTGGTTACGCTGGTCGATCGATAGCGCGCACGAAAGTCGTCAGGCCGGCTTCCGCTCAGCAGAAAAGAGAGAAATGATGAGCACCGTTGGCCGCCGTCGTCGTATGTCACAACCAGCCAGAGCAGAGACTGACGAACAGCGCGCACGCCGGCGCCTTAGCCTGCCGTCGCCAGCCCGCTCGGCGAACCCCGACGCCCCTCAACATCATCGCGTCGGTATACTTCCGCTGCGCTCTCTTCTGCTCTGCCGCCGTCGACACTGTCCGTAACGACCAGCAACCATGGCGGCGCGCCCACTCAACGACGATGAGGTGCTCAGCGAGATGAACAAGATGGTCTGTCCGTTGTCTGCGTGCATACCCCTGACCGGTGCTCTTACAAGTGTACTATAATGCACAGGTGGCCTTTATCAAGCAGGAGGCCATGGAGAAGGCCTGCGAGATCAGAGTCAAGGCAGATGAAGAGTTTGCCATTGAAAAGGTACGCGGAACGACTTGAATGCGCCCTCCTGGCCGCATCCTAACACCTATACAGGCCAAGCTCGTGAAGCAAGAACAACAGGCCATCGACGCGCAATACGACAAGAAGCGCAAGAACGCCGAGACCGCACAGAAGATGTACGTCCGTCCCTATGACACTGCAATATTCCTCGGCCGCTGACACCCCCGCCCCGATCTCGTACAGCACCCAGTCCACCCTGACCAACAAGGCCCGCCTGAGGCTCCTCCACCGGCGCGAAGAGCACCTTCAAGACCTCTTCAATACCGCCCGCAGCTCCCTCGCACAGCTGTCCTCTGAGGAGGGTCGGTACAACCAGTTCCTGCAGGGCGTGATCACCCAGGGCCTGCTGCAGATGCTCGAGCCGGACGTCACCGTCTACTCGAGACCAAAGGACTTGGAAGTCGTAAAGTCAGCGGCTGATGCTGCCGCGGCGCAGTATAAGGAGATCAGTGGCCGAGACGTCAAGATCGACGTCGAAGGCACATTGAGCGATGAAGGGTGAGTTACTGAGCTCAATGTCAAATGACATTCAGCCACTGAATGCTTTACAGATCTGGTGGCGTCAAGATGACAAGTGGGACCCAGCGAATTACGCTCGATAACACCCTGGATGAGCGTCTCCGATTACTAGAAGAGAGGGTAGGTTTTTGTGTGTCGGTGCTTTCCTTCACCGCCCTTAACCTTGCATTCATTAGATGCTTCCCGAGATTAGGCAGGAGCTGTTTGGTTTAAACCCGAATCGCAAGTTCTATACATAATACTGTTACCCGATCAGCGTGAATGTACCTTCTTTTGCCGTGGCTTTCCGGGCACTTTCAAATCGCTGCGCCTTGTATTTCGGGACTTGCACGGGACGGACAACGGTCGATTATCGAAACGTGCTCAGAGTTTTCGGTCCCGGGCTCAACAGAAAGCCTTGCAAGACCGCTCAAGGTGCGAGACACACTTAAGGGTGTCCTCGCTGGTTTTGTGAGCTCATGCGGAAGTTCATGCACTTCTTTATCATCGTGTCGTTCGCAAAATTGGCGACGCACATTCTACGATCCACAGAATAAAACGACAATGCTCATTCACAATAATGAGCAAAGGAAATTTAACAGCTCGATGAAAAATACGAGTGCATTAAGGGGGAATCGAACCCCCGGCGGGTCGAGTCACTTGACTCTATATGGCAACGACCCAGGTTACCACTACCCCATTAATGCTTGACAGAAGCATGTCAGAGTACCATGGTGAGAGACACATATGACCCGCTGGAGGAGCAATACGTATCCCGCCCTCTTGCTGGGTCCCTTCTGAGCAAGCAACTTGGATGTAAGCACTTTCAGAAGTGAGCCCCTCCATGAGGTCTCTTTTCTATAGTGGTTGCATGTACAGTAACCTAAATTGCAAGTTTATAGGGCATAATATGTATTTTCCTGTCAATGTCATGCTTCGAGGTGTCATCACTCCGGGACACTGCACTCCGCGGTGACTCTCACGATTGGTGCTCGACCTGCAAACTCTAAATTTCGCCGCTAGTGCTTGTACTGCAGCCTTGCGAAGCTCATCCTCGGTACTCCCGGTATCTTCACTACTCTATCGGTGCTCTCTGTGAAAAATGGCTCAACCGGGAATGCCAATATGGGCGGCAGACGACGAGATCGAGGAGGATTTCCAGGGCGTCGACCTGAATATGGCGATCGGGAACTATGGGCAGAACGGGTTGTACGACGAAGGTGTGTAGCACAAGCCTTGTGAGGCGTGAATTCCGATAACTTATGCAGTCTGTCAGTCCAGTCCAGAATAGATGAGGCTGCGCTGCTTGCGGTGCAGCAGCAAATGCAGCAACAGGCCGCCTTTGCGCAGATCCCGGACCAAGTGAAGCGCGTGCGTTAGCCCTGGAGATTAGAGCCCCAAGGCTTTGATTGATTGACGATGTCTTGCGGACTAGTTCATTGTACACTTCCACCAAGCAGTGCTCAACAACAACTTGGAGGAGATTACCGTTGCGTATGAGAGTGGATGGAATCGACTGACGGAGAAGTTCTATGCCAAAACCGAATGGCCAGAGGCCGAGATCATCGCCCCTCTTGTGAACGACGGTACGATATTTTCGTGCTTATTGCGGTCGGAGGGACTTACTGTTCTTAAGACCCCATCTTCTTGATTCTGTACCGGGAGCTTTACTACCGTCACGTCTACTCACGACTGCAACCCAACATCGATGACCGTTTCCACTCTTACGAAAACAGCTGCGAGCTCTTCAACTACCTCTTGAGTAAGCGGGCCTGCCTCATGTGTATGTTGTTCACGTAGCCTCACCTGTGCTACGTACAGACTCGGATGAACCTGTGACGCTGGAGCTACCGGAGCAATGGTTGTGGGATATCATCGACGAATTCATCTATCAGTTTCAGTCTTACTGCGTCTGGCGCTCGCGCGTCAAGTCAAAATCAGACGAGGAGCTAATCCTGCTTCAAGAAGCAGCCAGCCAAGTACGGAGCTCTCTAATACTCCTCTTGAGCTCACCTGAGACACCTCCCCGCAGGGAGTCTGGAGCGCATACAGCGTGCTTAACGTACTGTACTCCCTAATTCAAAAGTCGAAAATCAACGAGTACATCGTGGCCCAGCAGGAAGGCAAAAACGAAGAGGAGATCGCGTGAGTGCTTCCTCAAACCCGGCCTGTGATCAGGATCACTGATGCTTGGTTAGTGAAATTGTGGGTGAATACGGCGTGCGTCCGCTCTACCGGATGCTGGGCTACTTCAGTATCATTGGGCTGCTCCGCGTCCACACGATGCTCGGTGACTTTACGCTAGCGCTCAAGGTGATGGAGAACGTTGAGCTGAACCCCAAGGCAAGCTTTTTCAGACCGATGTGCGATGAAGGCCTGTTATGACAAAGCCCGCGATTGCGATCTATAGGCTCAATTCACGCGTGTTACGGCCTGCCTGGTCTCGACGTACTATTACGTTGGCTTCTGCTACATCATGCTGAGGAGATACATGGATGCTATCCGTGGGTACCTCTCGATATTGAACTTCATTCTCCGGATGCGACAGTATCACACGCGGAGTTATCAGTATGATCAGGTGCGCCTTACGCTACTATACTATGAGCATTTGCTCAGAGGACATGCAGATAAACAAAACGGCGGACCGCATGTATGCGCTGTTTGCGGTGTGCAATGCACTCGCTCCGTCACGGATAGACGATAATATCCTCAACACGGCGAAGGAGAAGTTCGGGGAACAGTTCACGAAAATGCAGCGAGGGTAGGTCTCGCGTTTGTCTGGGCCCTTACATTGAGTAAGTGTCGTCGTTACATAGCGAGGAAGGCATCGCGGCTTTTGAAGAGCTCTTCCTGTATGCTTGTCCCAAGTTCATCTCCGCCAACCCGCCGCCGTATGATGATCCGGATGCGCTCACCGCCTACGTCGACGACCCGCCGACGGAGCCCGCCCAGCGGCACCTCGCGCTCTTCCTTGCCGATGTTCGCGCACAAGCCCCTGTACCGACGCTCCGCAGCTTCCTCAAGCTGTATACATCGTTGGACGCGAGCAAGCTCGCGGGCTTCCTCGACGCGGACGAAGAAGAGATGGTGCAGCAGATGATGGTGATGAAGCAGGCGAGCCGGTGCGTGAGCCGCGTGGGCGGGGAGAAGGGGCTACTTGAGGGTGCGGTGAGACCGACCAGCGATCTGGACTTCTCGATTGACGAGGTGGGTGCCATCAACTCGGCGGGTCGTGCTAGCGAAGCCAGCTGAATGCGTTTTTCGCAACAGAATATGCTCCATATGGTGGAATCGACTGTGGGAAGGAGGTACGCGGGCTGGTTTATCAGGAGCACGGAGAACGCGCAACGGGTCTTGGATACGTTGAAGAACAGCCCCTTGGCTATACCGACTAAGAGCGTGGCTGCAAATGGCCAGGGCACCGACGGCGCTGCTGAACAGCCGGCAGCACCTAGGGCAGGAGGCCAGAAAGTAGCCTGGGGCGGCGTGAAGGTCGCGTGAGCCGTATATTGAGTCCTTGCTCTCATTTCCACAGTGTTGTATGTGAGAATACATGTATTGTCCTTGAGCACAGGGTGCAAGTCCAAGAAGTTCTTCCCCTGCCTCGGCTACGTTTTCTCGTTGGCTCATGGGTACACGTGCCCTATCTATAGCAAAGCGACCTCAGTATGATGATTCTCAAGGTAGACATGTTAGATGGGTATATACTTCTCGAATATGGAAGGCGGTGAGTGGTGTTCCCACTAAGCAAGTACTTATAGACGTGGGCGTCTGATTTGCATATGCCGTGACTCGTCTCTACGTTTCCAAACTAACAAGTCCAGCGTATACGCTTCAGCTCAGTCCTGATGCTTTTCAAAGGTCAGCTTGAGACATGTAAGTTATGACCACCCCAGCAAGTAATCTCATCTGCACAAGAGCTTCTACGAGATTACCCGCGAGATAAGGCCGACCCAATGAATGGACGGCGCCCGGAGAAGCTGGCAAGGGTAGGACAACCGCCTTCACATTGGTTGACGGCTTCCTCACCCCCAGGCGCCCTTCTGAAGCTCCTCTCGGCTCGGGGTCACTATCATGACCACTGATGATGGTGGGATTACGCTCTTGTTCACATCCGGGGTGGTGCATTTGCCTCTTCTTTCTCGTTCCTCTCGACGTGGCCCCAGGATCATCTGCCCGTTCGATATTTCAGACTCACACAGTATACCGAGGTCAGTCCTCTCAGGTCGACGCATTCCTCATCGCCCTATGAAACCTCCTCCGAGAAACTCGCACACTTCCCACCACAGCTTTACACGCCTGCCTTTCCCTGTCATATTCATTGCTGGATCTCCCATCCCCGGCTGAATCGGAGAGACGTCCCGCGATATATGAAGCAGCGTCCTCTGTGACCTTTCATATCCTTTCGCTTCACCTCCTGTTGAAATGACGATTCAAGATCTCAAAGCGCTCGGCAACATCATTCAAGATTCCATCACGAAACTAGAGAAGCACTACAAGGATAGAAAGCTCGACTTCCCATCCCTCGATCAGCCATACACCAATGACGCTGCAGATGCACTGACGTCGGACGCAGACGTCGTTGCAGCAGTCAATAATATCACGGCTGCCTCGTACCAGCTGATGTCAAATGTCAGGCCTCCATTCCTCAACATACTCGATGCGTCCACAGCGGTGAGCTACACTGATCCTCCGTAGTTACTCTACACACCGCTCATGAGCTATCAGTACGAACTATCGTCGTGTTTACGTGTAGCAGAACAATGCAATGCGGCCGAGATTCTGCGAGAAGCTGGGCCAGAGGGCGCTCACATTTCGATCATCGCGGCGAAGAATAACCTTGAACCCACTAAACTAGGTACGTGAGGCAACTACACTAGTTCGGTTTGTACCTGGCTAATGGCTCGACGAATGAAGCCCGTATATTCCGTCTCCTGGCTACCCACCATATCTTTCGAGAGGTCAAGCCAGACGTTTTCGCCAATAATCGGACCTCTTCGTACATTGATACAGGCAAATCCACAGAACAGCTGTATGAATTGTGCGTCTAAGCACAACGTATCGCTTCCTTCGCGTGCTGACGTCTCTGCCAGAGGTGTTGATAAACATTCTGGGACGGCTGGTGCAGCTGCCATTGTCGACCATTTGTGAGTGTGCCGCGAACTGGGGCAATTCCATCTCTAATAGTCATCACCAGCGTCGACGAAGTCCAAAAGGCCTCGGGGTACCTTTGGGAAACCTTGATCTCCCCGGAGAAAGGACACAGCTTCAGTTCCATTCACGCGCCCGTCCAGGAGGCGTTCAATACTGACCTGCAATTCTTCACATGGATTGAGCAACCTGGTAATGAACGTCGCTTCAAGCGATACCCCGCGGCCATCCGAGGGACGTCCTTGTGGAATGGCCCTAGCGCAATCTTGAAGGGATATGACTGGGGTTCGCTGACTTCAGACGATTTGATAGTGGATGTTGGCGGCGGTGCGGGGATGCCCTCCATGTATATTGCTAGGGCAAACCCGAACGTGAAGATCGTCATTCAGGAGAGAGAGCAGGTCGCGGAACAGGGCAAGATGGTAGATATCCTCGCAGCTGACATCACTTCGACGAATTGACGTTCCCATTGTAGTTTTGGTCCGAGACTTATCCCGATGCGTTCAATTCTGGGCGGGTTAGTTTCCAGGGTGGGCGCATTTCTCTCCCGTGCCGAAGCACCCCGAGACTCATGACATTTGGTAGTGCACGAGTTCTTCGAGCCGCAGCCACAGAAGAACGCGTCTGTCTTCGTTCTCCGGACTATCCTGCACGACTGGCCGGATAGCGACTGTGAGGTTATCCTCCGCCATCTGCGTGCTGCTGCCACTCCGAGGACACGGCTGGTCATCGGCGACTACCTCATCTCTTACGCCTGTCCGGATACCGGCGCGGCAGGGTCGCTCGCTGGATATAAGCCAATCGAGGCGCCACCACCGCTCTTGGCGAACCTGGGCAAGGCCAGCGCTACAGCGTATGCGCTGGACATGTCCGTGAGTTTCGCCCGCCATTATTGTCGTCCTGTAGAAGCGGCTAATTTTTCTCTCTGCACAGATGTTCACCAACTTTAATGGACAGGAGAGAACGTTGAGACATTTCCTTGACTTAACAGCGCGGTGTGGGTGGCAGGCGATACAGGTGTATCGTTGCGATGATTCGCCGTTCGGGTTCTTGGTTTCGAAGCCCATGTGAAGTGCTTTGGGACAACAGTCACAGGTAGTTCATCCTACCTTTAGAGCATACATTATACAGCAAAGAGTGGGGAGAAGGAAGTGTAAAGGAGACTTGGCACATGGCTGCCACATCTGTAGTGTCGTTGCATACAATCATTGCGGTCGTCGTCACCTCAGTATGCTCTTCGCCGTCCCCAACTTCGATTTCACGTATTCCGTTGCGTATAGATCTCACGAAGCCGTATCGTCTACCTGTAGCGAGGAGGTACAACATGGGCGATATGCTCCAGAATGATATAGTGTCCAGGCAGGGTGAATATGCTACGCCATCCCACGATATTCGCATTGCCGTGAGGAATGACTATGGGTCTGCACAGTATGCACTTGCTCCGCATATGCTAGCTTGCTCGTGCCAGGTATTATCGGCGATGGAGACTGAAAGAAAACAATGCATAGCTGGTCGACCAACAAATACGACAGACATCATACAGCAAAGAGCACAAGTGTTGAGAAGGAAGGACACAGAAGACTCCGGCAATGCCTACCGACGCTCTACTGCATATCAGCGTCATCTTCATCATACTCGTCGCTATCCTCTGGCCAGACTTCACTTATTCCTGACCAATAACTGAAAGCAGTGAAATGAGAGGGCAGTGCTGCGGCTCCGGGATACATCCGGCGCCTCAAATTAATCCTGGCCTCTCGCACATCTGCGTCTGCATTGGGGTCATCTCTCAGCTCAAAGCCTTCGTACACCCCGAGGGAACGTCTCAAGAGATTATCATATGCTCGACTCTCCTCCGCCTTGGTGATGACCCCAAATGTGTCCGGCGAGATCTGTGCACACCATATGTCGTACGCCGTGAACGGGCGTGAGCTAGGTATACGACTCGAACGGCGCTCGGGAGGCTGCACAACAGTGAGCCCGGCTTTCCGCGACGCCAGGGAAAAGACCATGCGGATCACGGGCAACGGCGAGTCCTTGCTCGTGAAGAGCCTGACACGACGCGGATCCATATCCGTGAAGGTCTTCCGTCGCACTTTGCGGGAGTACGACCGGTCGTTCTTCACCTGGATTAGTATAGCGGAGATGTTCTTTGCTTCGATGGGAGCGTCCTTGAACACGAATGGGATGACAATGTCAACCCCCCGATGGGTGTCTGCACATAGGATAGCAGCACGACGAAGAACCAGGCGCCACAGATATTGAACATTGATCACGTCGTAGTCTTGAACCTTGATGAAATGGTTGAAGGCCATGCGAGCATCCTTGAATGTCGTAGAGAAGTCGTGGAATTCATCCTGGCGAGACGTGGAAGGCAGAGCATCTCCGATATTTGCGGACTCGTGCAATAGCGTTTGGAGGAATTCAAGTACCGAGAAGACCGGGGAGTGGTTGCGAGGGCCATATGCAAGCATATCGCGAGCTTTCATGAGGAGCAGCATAGCGGCGAGTTCGCCCCGATCTCCACGATGCACGCCCCACACGTCCAAGTGCTCAGACATCAGTTGGGCTTCGCTCCGGTCCTTCAGTTCTTGACCCGCGGCCTCCGCAAGCAGTGGTTCCGATGGAGCCACGGTCACCATAGACTGAAATCCCGGAGTCGCTGCAAGGCATATCCTCATGTGCCTCTCGACTTGCTCGCTCTCGACTTCCCGCTCACGAGGATTCTTAGGCCGGAATTCAAACGCGTAGCGAAGCGCAAGGCAGGCCAGGAGACCCTTGTCGCTGTCGCGTGTTGCCGAAACAGGTGTACCCAACAACTTTGCTCTTGCGAAATCCAACAATTCGTCCTTGACTTTTGCGCTGCCAAAGTCGTAGCGGGAACCGAATCTGTCCTAGCCTGTCAGAAGAGGAATTGAAAGGGCACAAAACTTGCACGCACAAAGGGCGACCTAGACGACACATGAAGTCAATCTTTGTGACCTTCTCCAGTGTATACTCCCCCTCAGCTACCCGAGGGGCGAGTTCATCGAACACAGTCTCAGTTATCGCAGGAAGCACTTTGTAATCGGGCGCCTCCGACATGACTCGAGCAGATTTGTCCTGATAAGAGTTAGGGGCGAAGTCTTGAAATCTCCCCAACGTCGAGAGGAAGAGGGAGAAGATGGGAAGACCTGCCAGGGAGCGAAGAGCACGTCTGATTTCAGAGAAGACGGACCAGGTGTGCTTAGGTGGCGTCTGAGGAAGGTCATATGCCTCATCGAAAGATAAGACCACATAAGGGTTTACGGAGCCTCCAGGTGGCTTTTCTAGAGGTAGCTCTTCACCGGAAACAACCTCCAGTAATCTTTGTGCAGCCTTTGTTGATGTCTGGTCCTCATCGTTCACTATTATGCCTATGAGCTATTGCAACGCATATGACAAAGGCGGCTTACATCTTGCTACTCTGCGCGGGGAGCGTTGACCGGCCGCCTTCGACATGGGCGCACTTGCATTGGCAAACTGAGTAAATCACCAGTAAGATCTCTAATAGCAGTGAGAGTGTCCGGATCGATTGTATTGCACTCACATCTGTGGCTTCTTTGATCACGTCACTATAAAATGATTTGCGGTAATCATTTACCGAAGCAAACGTTTGCCCGTCCACCATGCAGCTACGAAAAGCGGAAGCAAGTCGCTGCAGTCGCTGCTTACCCCGCAGGATCCGCAGATCTTCTCTATTCACGATATCTTTCAGGCGCTGGGAAGTCACCGTGAGCAACCCATAGAGGAATCCATCTGCACGGCCGTCATCCTTGGTTATCTTGAGCAGCCAGTCTCTCAGGTCTACATCTGCTGGCGGGAAGCCTGCGGTGGAGTATGAATCTCCCACGTATGCAGATAATGAGGTGACCATACCTTCACTGCGACGATCACGCAAGCACATGTAGATAACAATAACATCTTTGCCCAGTTCGTCGACCATTCGCGACTTGCCTGTGCCAGAGGAGTTGACAATTGTAGCATATCTGGCATATAACATACGTCCCGGGTCCAGGAAACTGCCAATAGTCTGGCGCAACACAGATGCAGCTCGGCCCTTAAACTGGCCTCCCCAGCTTGCAATTGTGGCTAGAGAGTCGGTAAGCAAGACGCGATGTAATGCGTGAGACGAATGCTAGAGCCTACCATTCACCTGCTCCGGATCGCTGTACTGGGACTCGGGTGCATCCGTTTTGGTAGATCGAGACATTTCTGCATCGATTGTCAGCGGATACTCAGGAGGCAGACGAACAGCGCACCCCTAAGCTTCAGGCGGAGGTCCTTGAATGAGCGGTTCTCCAGACCAGCCTCAGCAAGCCTTTGAATCTCCGGATCTTCCGAATACTTCGCAAAAACGACGCTGCTGGTATCTTGATATTCCGACAGGTCAGATGCAACTTCCTCCACCAGATGGAACAGCAGCATTCGCATCTGACGCGCCGGCAATTGATTCACCTTCTGCTTCTGATTCCAGTTCGATTGTATATAGGGATCCTGAAGGAGTCTCGCGTCCCAACTCGCATGCATATCTTCCGAGATACCATCCGCTGTGCCAGAAGAACCGGCAAAAGCTGACTCGGGCGATGGGGATGATATCCTGGGTGACTTGCGTGCGGATATGTCTGGAGAGGACGGGGACGCAGATCTCTTTGCCGTGGCAGAGCACATTACAGGTTACGACGACAGGTTGGACTTGAAATATTGTCGCGACTGTTGTGGCCCGAAGTCAATGTCACGCTCGTGCTGTGGCACGTCGCCCGCGTCGCCATTGTCCGAGTCACGTGCATTTACTCACAATGTAAGTTATTAAGTAAATTAATTACGATGGCCGCAGTCCAGGAATCTCACTAGCAGGTCGTGTATGATCATACCGTAGCATAGAGAAATCATAGTGTTATCTGCACACGCCCCATCCCATCCCCGCTCTCAAATTCCACCAGTTGCTTTCCGTTGTACAGCACTTCCACTGCCCTCCCTGTTGCCTCACTCACACCGGGCGCCATACTGAAATTCGCCTCCGCCAGGCTACTCCCACCCCAGCCAAAGTCCGCGACCAGGCCCCCGCGCAACCGCGCACCCCTCACGGACCCGGACGCCCACGCAGCGGGGAGCGCTGGCAGTAAGGTGATGATAAGCGGCTGCGAAGCAGCGGCCGTATCAGGTGCTTGTATTAGAGCATTCTGCCAACAATGACAGGGCTTGAAACGTGAGTGGCGCACAAGGAGCGGCAGGACGCACGAGCACAGCAGCCGGAAACCCGAGGTTCGCGTCGATCTGGAATATCGTGTTCGGCTGCGTCGGGATGTACGGGTTGTACAGACTGAACAGGTTCGCCCCAAAGTTCCGCTCGAGCGCGTACTATGCGTGCACCCATCAGCCCCTCACCTGGAGGGGGAAAACAAACAGCACGTACGGTTAGCTCGTGGTAGAAGGCCGCCGCGTCATGGGACTGCGCCCATGCAGCGGCCCGCCAGACTTTCTCCCAGCCCGCATCGCCGTCCGGGCCAGTCCCATTCCCTCTGTGGATCAGGCTCGTCTTCGCTGCCTCAAGTACTTGCACTTTGGTATAAGATGCGCTTGCGGGCGGGGGACTGGACTGGAGGGAGGCATTATAGGAGCTCAGCGCATACCCAGGATACAGTCCGATCAGATGGGAGAGGTGCCGGTGCGTATCGTTCTGCTTGTCCAAGTCGACTTTCCATTCTGCCGGAAAGGGACGCATATCGGTGAGGCACGCATGTACAATCGAATGCCGGGCATTTCCCACCTTGCAGTTGGCCCCACGAGCCGATATGGATGCCCTTGTCCATCTGGGCCCGTGTGTTCCGCACATCTGCGTCGTTAGGTATTCAGCACCAGGTCAAGGGAAGGATGAGATTTGATCAATGACTACTTTCGAGGAACGCGACGTCCGAGTCCCCGGAGGCATTAAACCCCTTCTCCACTGCGTTGAAGAGCTGCCATATGAGTTGCTGCGCGTGCGCGCACCCTGCAGGTACGAACAGCTGTCTCGTACGGATATCCCGGAGGCGAACATTGGCGGTGCTCACCGAATGTGATGGGGGCCTGTTCTGGCGAGTTGCAGGGGTTGACGACCAGAGTTGAATCGTTGAAGTAGTAGTCTGGGACTAATTTGTTGACATGGAAGCTTGCTACGCCCTGTCGTAAGAGGCATAGCATGCCAGACAGCATCAAACGAGGATATGCAGCTTTCGTTACCTTCAGTAGCGGCCATCCTTGTGTTTTCCACCAGTCGATGTCATGTGTATAGTCAAAATGGTCCCAGACGTGGATCATCTATCGCAAAAGGGAAGTAACCCGCAAGAATCGTGAGCCAGGGCAGCGAAGCTTACCATCCAGACCGCCGATTCTTGACAACGGCAATGTTATTCAACCGCCAGAAAGATAGATCGTAAGACTGACCTGGGTAGTCTGCCCATTGTGCTGATAATGGGTCGCCGACCAGGTTCTTCATACCTGTATGCCCGAAGATCTGCCGGTGCGGGGCGAAGTGGTTATCCAGCTGTAGCTCTTTCCCATGACTCTACTTACATTCATCTTCGAGGCGAAATATCTCATTGATCAGCGTGTAATACGGATATTCCGCAAGCGATGTCACCTCATTGTGAGTAACCCAGCCCTCCGAGATGTTATACAATATTTGAGCGGTCAGGCTTCCTCGAGGGGCCCAAGTTTTCTGGACCACTCTTTCAGCACATATTTATCGACGATCGGCAATGAAGTAGCAGCTCACCTGCATGTAATCCCACAAGGACTGAGTGACGTTCATGCCGGTCATCTCAGCCATCCAATAGTTCATCTGAACGTTGATATTCGCATCTGCCAGGACATCATCAACCCCACCCTCCGCAGACTCCAACCAAACCAGCCAGGCACTTACGATAATCTGCACATCATCCACCCCGTTTATGCACGGAGCAACAGAATGCACGACAACGAGGGACCCGGCGTACCTGCACTCCACGGATTGGACGACTCCTGCGCCCACTTGCCCTGCAAGTTCGCAGGCAGCGTGCCGCGCGCACTGCTCGCGAGCATATACCGCCCGTAATTGAACGCCAGCCACTCCAAATACGGATTCCCCACGTCCGTCGCGTACGCGAGCCGCAACGCATCCGTCGGCGTGCCCAAGTCCGGCGTCTGCCCAAGGTCCAGCGAGAACGGCGCGACGACCGCAGCGTAGTCCGCGGCGTGCGCGGCGAGGGAGGACCGGTGCGATATGCCTGCGGTCGCGGAGAAGAGCAGGGCCACGAGGGCCGCGTGCGGGTCCGCGCCCCGGAAGGAGAACGAGTGCGCCGCGTCGCCCGCGTCCATGCTGTACTCCGTTCCGCCGACCCACGTCACCCAGCTCTCGCGCGCGCCCTGCACGCGCAGGGTCGCGTTGCTGTTCGCCGCGCCTGACAGCGGGGAGCAGGTCACGCGCGCATCCGCGCCGGTGGTCTGCGCGCGGAAGAGGAGCTCGTATACCATCCCCGGGGCGGCGACGGTCCCTCGCACTTGGAGCGTGAACGAGTCGAGGCAAGTGATGTTCGGGAGGGGCAGGCCGGTCTGGGTGAGGACCGACCAGGCGTACGTGATGGCGGGGAGCGGCTCGGAGGAGTTGAGGTACTGTGTGCATGCTTGGGTAGGGTTAGAGCAGAATGTTTCGCTTTCATAGGTCCTGTAGGTGAGGAATTGTGTGATGCTCTTAGGAAGCTCACTGACCGAGTATATGTCGCATTTCCGGATGACCAGGTCGCTCGTGCGATTGCATCATCGAGGTCCAACCACCGCCAGTAATCGTACGTTTCCCCAGCGGAGGCGAGGGTCGTGAGGAGATATCCGGCCCCAGAGTAGGAGCCTTACGTATCATTAGACTCATTTCCTTCGTCTTACCGATAACAAGGCACCCGGTAGGCTCTATACGCACCGTAAGCCCCTGGGTCTTCTTGCAGCTCGAATATATCTGAAGAGAGATCGTGGTGACATATGTGGCCATCAAAGGGGGAAACTAACCGGGAATCGTGCCATTTGGGCTCTGGAATATCGCTTCTCGATATACCTGCATATCCTGAGCTAACGAAGCTCGCTGGTACGGGAGCTTGTTCCCTCCATTATACGACTAGTTTACAGTCGTGGTGTAGCACAGTGAGCCATATACGCTAAGTACCAGCCCGAACAGGCCGAAGCTAACAAATGCGCAGCGGCAGCTCACGGAATTAGAGAACGGCCCTCCTGCCCATAACGACTCGATGTTCAACTGTGTGGTCTCCTGCCAGATACCGCCCGGGACCATCGCTTGTAAGTATGGAGGGTCAGCCCGTTCAAACCTTGAAAGCCCAGCCCTTAGTCTCCCTCACCGGCCAGATGTCCATTTCCAACTGGGAGAAACTCTGTCGTCCAGTCCGTCGCAGGCTGCGTATACCACAAGCCGTTTCCTGACGTCGGAAAGCCCGGCGGGGCGGACACGGCCAGCGAGACCGAGGAAGCGAACGCAAAGAGACGCAATGTAGAGTACCACATAGCCAATATCGGGTCCCACCACGAGAAGGGGGATACGGGGGCGTAGGTTGCAAGCAGAGATGCCATGGGAAAGACATATAAAGATCTCAAGATATATGGCTTTACGTTGCCTGGCAGTGTCGGCGCGCTGTCAAGGCAAGCCCGGCGCCGTTATAGATCGTGTAATGACGAGGAAGGACAGCTGACCGCCGGGCAGAACGTCGACCGTATGGTGCACGGCCCGTTGAGACGATTTTGATTCCCTGTCTTCTCATTTTATATGAGAACGCAGGGAATCAAAACGACCTGTATTTAGATGTCCTCATTATAGCGTTCCGCCGCAGACAGAGGCCGACAAAGCAGTCCATGTAAAAGCAAGACCTTAAGACGCAGTGTAAACCGGAGAGTTACAGCCTTGTGAATACAGGCTGTCGGCTATCGGCATCCCCCGGCGACATACCAGTATGTCTTCGCTCTCTGATGTATTCTACGACCTCGTCAAGGCCGACGAAATCGAGGATGCCTACAACATAGAGGTAGCAGGTACGAGATTTACGCTATATACTGATCATTAAATGGCATATTTCCTAGGTTATCCGGAGGACGAAGCAGCCAGCCTCGATGCCTTCCGGTACGTCCTGGCCCTCTTCAATTTCTATCCGTCCTGACGAATGACAAAAGGTATCGCCAGGCCGACGCGCCGGACCTCTTCTACGGCGCATTTCTCCCAAACGCCAGCGGCGGGCGCACCCTCGTCGGCTACGTCTGCGCGACGCTCTCGCCGTCCGCCACCCTCACGCACGAGTCCATGTCCACGCATGTCCCCGGCTCCTCCTCCGTCTGCATCCACTCCGTCTGCGTCGTGCGCGCCTGCCGCCGACGGGGCGTCGCCACGCGCCTCCTCCAAGCATACCTGGCGCACCTGGCGGACGGCGGTTACGAGCGCGTCCTCCTGATCGCACACGAGGAGCTCAGGGGGCTCTACGAGCGCGTCGGGTTCGAGTGGCTCGGGCGCAGCGAGGTGGTGCACGGGTCGAAGCCGTGGTACGAGATGCGCAAGCTCCTCCCCAGCCCCTCTGCCGCGCCTACCGCGCCGCAATCACAAGTCCCGGCAGGACTATGGGAGGCCCTGCAAGCGTCATCCTCGCGACCCCGGCCCGCCTCGCAGCTCCTCCCCTCCTTCCCGAACGGCCTCGCGGACGTCCTCTCCCCCGAAACCAACACCAACAAGCCCGACCTCCTCTGCCCGCGCCCCGGCTGCGGGAGCCTCATCCTCAAATCCGGCGCCGCGACGCTGCAAGAACGGTCGAGCATCCTGCTCGAGCCGCCAGAATATCAAAGCAGGAGCCCACTGGCACCCCTCCCGCCGCCGGGCACCCCTGCGCACTGGTGGCTCGTCACGCCGTCCCCGATGGCGTTCGAGAATATCGGCTTCAGCAAGCCCCTTACGGACAACCCCAGGATGAAGCTGCTTGCGTGCGCGGAGTGCGACCTGGGGCCGCTAGGCTGGTGCGAGCAGGGCGGGCGCGAGTTCTGGCTCGCGGTGGGGCGGGTAGGGTACCGCGTCTGATCAGGTCAAGGTGGTGTTGGGTCTGTGGTTCGATCATGCGTCGGTGCTGACTAGTCGGTTGTTAAGGAGTGCCCCGGGCAGTTATCCGTAGCAGCGGGAGCTCAAGGTCTCAATCAATATATTTTGTGCATGAAGAGACAATAATCTAATCACGAGGCACTTGCGACCAGTGCCACTTACAGTACTTAAGGCACACAATAGGCCGCACGTTGGAAAGGATGTGAAGACAATCCAATGGCATCCCTCCGACACAACGTCGCATACGCACACGCGTACGCATAACGGCTATACAGCCTGCGTGTGAGGTAATTATAATGTACTTCCTTTTGGTACTCACTCTCAGAACAATGGTCTGTCTGCGCTTCAGTGTGGACGAGCTTCACAATCGTCTCGTGCTAGCTGAAATATGGAGTTTGCACGAGAAACCTCAAAACGATGAGTCTGACGAACATAGAGGGAGACCATCTCGGCTTGACATTGTGTTCCACCTGCAACACGATGGGATCATGCAATGACTTCTCCATTACATTGACTGAACGGGCAGACACTCTGCCCAGATAAACATATGCATGGGTCGTCCTGGAGAATCGAGATCCCGATACCGCACATTCCGGTGTATCGCATGAAATACAACATAGCCAGGGCTGCCTGAGCTTCACCTTGCTGTCAGCATCCAGGTGTGAACCTTCCCCCGCTATTGCTCGTCTTTTGGCAGTCAGTGTACACTCTTGCTCTACCAGTCATCTGGGATATATATTGAGATAGCTGCTTACGGCCTGTAATCCTCGCTGTGGGACAGTGTTTGAACTATTGCCCATATTTGATTTCTCTGGTTCCCTGTATGAATGCGTACTCCAGAATGGAGAGGCAGCCTTTGGGGCCCATGGACACAGTCAAGCTGGCTATTGACAAAGAAACAGAGGACGGGCAGTAGCTTGAACGCAAATCTATTACGAGCTCGACACTGCGGGAAGTAAAGGCACTTAGACCCAGCGCCTTGGGCACTTGTCGCTCATGGCAAGTGCCCTAGGCACTCGATACGACGGCACGTGTAAAAAGTGCCTTACGAGCAAGTGCCCAAGGCACTGCAAGTTAGTGAATATTTTATGTCATTTATCATCCCGCGAAATATGTGTCTTGGGCACTCGTCCGAAGAGTGCCTTGGACACTATTTCCTGTGCCCTTCTAAACAATGCCATAGGCACTACATAAAAGACACCTTTATTCATTACATTGTACAGCACTTAGTCAGTGATAAAAGTACAGAAATTCTGATATGTCCATGTGATATGGAGTCCCAGCAAGCACTCGATATAACACGTATCTTAAGTAATTGAGGACCATCTAAGATTAGTAGACGAGCAAACTACAGCGTTGGTAAGAATAAAGCCACGTGTGAGAGTACAGGGCGCAAGAAGGCGACGGCGAGACATAGAGACGAGCGAGAACGAAGAGCATTGCCGATGTATGTACAAGACGCGAGGCGGAAGTGTAGCTGAGCGCGAGCCGAATCCGCCAAGTGTAAGAGGGTGCCGTAAGATGAGCATACGAGCCGGGAATGAAAGGTTGAAGTGAGAAGGCACCGAGAGCAGCAAGTGTTCAGATTGTATCAGCATAAGCCAGAAGAGGGAGAAGACCAGAAACTGAGCACGAGATGCGAGAGCGCGAGCATGCCAGTCACAAGGGGCGGAGAGCAAGGCTTGCAAGGCATATGAGCGAATGACGGCGTCGAGTAAGGAGCTAAAGGGGAGAGATGAGGCGGCGGAGAGACGACAAGTCTTACTTCGCCGCGGCGGCAGCCTTGAGTGGACGCAGCTTGATTTTCTACGAGCGGAGCAGCGCGTCAGATGCAACATTTACAGCTGAATGCACTCACAAAAGAAGAGGTGAAGATCTAGAATACATATAATTGAGGTGAACCCGTTCCCTCCGAACAAAGATCGTGACACACCTGTGGCTCAGCCAGTTCTTCGGTGTCGTCCTCGTCTCTCGCGGCGGGGGATAAACGCGGTCGCGCCTCGA